GTTTAGTGATGGCTAATAAATAAGAATATCCATCCATTTATCCATCCATCCATGTGACTCCATGTGTGTGTGTGTGTGTGTGTGTGTGTGTGTTCATGTGTGTGTGCATACCAATTAGTGTTAACTCACTTGTCTCTTCCTCTTCCCTTCCCTTTGTTTGGGATTCAACAACACATTGGTTTTACTCTTCCATTTTTAAAAAATTTTCTGGACAGCAGTAATTGTGGTATTAATGATATGCAATAATGTTGAAGGTATAGGAGTTTTTAAAGCCTAGGGTGAGCAACCATACTTCTCGCAAGTGTCACTAGGCATTATGAAAAACATAGTTACACAGGGAAATATTTAACCTATGTAATTCTCAATAGCTATATTTCTTTTCCACCGTTTTTGAAGAAGGGAACAAAACACAAAAAGATAAGTGAGTATCCCATCTCCAAATATCATCACATGGAATATTGAAGATTGATATTATCTGAATGTTTTTGTGTCCTTTCCAAATTCCTACATTGGAATCCTAACCCTGAATGTGACAGTACTAGGAAGTGGAACCTTGGGAGGTGATTAGGTCATTAGGGTGAAACCCTCATGCTGGGATTAGTGCCCTTACAAAGAGACTCCAGAGAGTGAACTAGCTCCTTCCACCATGTTGAGTACAAAGAAAGCCAACATCACATGTGACCAGGAAATGGGTCTTTACAAGAAATCAAATTTTCTTGTACCTCCATCTTGAACTTCCAAGTCTCTAGAACTGTGAAAAATAAATATATGCCTAACTTATGCTATTTTGTTGGCCTAAACAACTGAGACAGTGAGAAAAAAATCCAAAAAATCCAAATTTTTTTTTATAGTTTTTGATTGTCAACTGATTGATTCTGAAATTGTAAATGGTGACATCATTATCATCACTATTATTTTTATGGTGATTACCATGTGCTGAGTAATAGTCTAAGAACTTTATTGAGTATTTCATAGCCTTTACAAAAACTATACAAGTAAGTACTATTTTTTTTTTTTTTATAAATCGGGAAACTCAGGCCCTACTTAAGTTAAAGAAATTAACTTTAGGCTCACATGGCCTTTAAGGGGTGAAGCTAGGATTCAGTCAAGGCAGTTTGACTTCAGAGTCCACTTTGCCACTCTGCCAAAGCAGAGGGTGCATTATGTAATGGACATGATACAAAACTGCAATTCATATTCCACACAAAAGAGAAATCAGCATGCTTCAGTATCCTCAGTTACAACATGGGAGTTATAATAGCCATTTCCTATTTGCCTCACGGGTCTGTTTCAAAGATAAATAAAGTTGTCTAAATTCAAAAGTTGTAAGTTCCCTGAAGGAAAATATAAAAATTCAGAGCAGAACAATTTATACTAGCTGTGTATGTTTGATGGAAGTATTTATTTATTTTTTACTTCACCTAGGGATTTCTCAGAAAATAGAACTGCATTGAGGATTCCTAAAGAACAAATATAGCAATGATAGCCAAGTGGCCAAAAGGACAGCATAAAGACAGTAACTTTTATTCTAACAGAAATAAAATTAAGGTATATTCTTTATGATTTTTTTTCTAAATTAATCATATGAAGCTAACTTAACCCTGCTAAAAATGAGAGTAAATATTGCATGACAATTATGCATTTAATTTTCACTTATGAAGGTATAAGTTAACCTATTTCCCCCATATTATCTACTGAATGTTAAAGACAAGTAGTAGGGAAAGAATATTATACCAAAAACCAAATAGTAATTATTTCAGGAATCCAAGGATAGTTAATTAGTTATTCAGTAAATCAACCATCTGCTTACTGTGAAAAAACTACCTATTTCTCTTCACTCCCTTCCTATCTTCCCCAAGTAAGCTTGTATTAAATTTCAATATCCTATACTGATTGAGAGAAAAAAAATTAAAGAAGCCATGTTAAAAAGATACTCTCTTTACATGACAAGGAATATGTTTCTTAAATGAACCACTGGCATAATATGGTACAAGATGTGAGACATTCATATTTAGATAAGGAATAAAATAGGGAGTTGATTATTTTTCTATTTAACATTTTCTGGAAGACTTTGACAATGAAAAATATAAAATTATTATAATATATAGTTTCTGGTAATAAAAAATAAGTATAATTATTGAAAAATAATATAAGTATAAAATTAGTAAAATGACCAAGTGAAAGATTATAGAACTAAAATAAAAGTGGGTGAATATCAAACACATGTTAAAAAACAATTTGTCAATAATGACCAGTTAATAAATGTACTACATTGAAACAAAAAACCTAATATTTAGCATTGAAATAAAAGTGTATAACATATACAAGTAACTTTAATATATAAAATGTATAATTTACATAGACAAAATTAAAAGTTCACTATGAGACATACAATGTTTGAATTGAGTATTATATTACTGGGTTGAGGGAGAATAAATAATATAAATATAATAATCTTTCCAAATAGGTTTAAAGTAATTACAATCAAAATTCTAGTAACATTTTTTTAGAGCATGGATTGAAACAGTGAAGAAAAATGTAGTTTAAAAAATATAAGAGTATTTATTTAATGAACATGGAAGAAAGGACAATGATAAAGGGTCTTGAGGGGACCTACAGATGCCTCTTAGCTGGAACTTGGAAGATATTCAGCCAGTGAAGTGAGATAACGGCAGAGGTGAGGCATCCTCCATGGGGGCCTCATAACCCAATTCAAAAAAAGGGCCTTGATTTCTTGTATATTATAACTTATTCAGCGATGTTGTTAATCAGAACATTATATATATAAAAGTAAGTAGAACAAAATTAATAATCCTTAAATATATTTTAACATGGAAGAAATAGGTTTTATGTACTCAGATTCCATGAAATATGAAGGAGAAAAGGAAGCACTAATAAATAAAATTTCTTTACATTAACGTATACTTGAAGATTCCTTCCCTATACCACAATAAATTTTTGAAGTGTTAAACAGTGGATCTCATATAGTAAATAAACTGTATTAAATTATAGAAATCCTGGTAAACACTTCGGGCTCCAAGGTACATACTGAACGCCACAGCACTGAGTGAGATCACCCTGAAGATGAGTGTAATACAGGCCAATTGCCCAAGGACTGAGTCCCTGGAATCCTGGGCTACACAGAAAAGCACAGGGGGCTGAGAAGTAGCCTCCTGGAGTTTGACAATCCTCAAAACATTATGGCAGAGAAGCTAACCAAACAGAGAACTTCAAGAAGGGGGTGACTGCCAGTGGGAAGGAAACAAGGCTAACACATCAAGTAGATGAAGACCACCATGGCTGAGCATTAGTTAGCCACTATGGTATAGTGGTGGAGATGAAAGCCAGGTTTTAGTAATTAAGAGAGAATGAACAGAGAGAAACTGTAGGCAGAGATGACTCTTCACAGATGGAAGGTTACAAGGAAGTGGTAGCTAGAAGGAAAGCAGAATCAAAAGTGTTTGTATTGCTTTTCATTTTTAGGTGACATTATAAGAGGAAAAAGAGATTAGTAGGAGTGATGTCCTTGAGTGGGAGACAGGTGAGATATTGAAGGTATGTGGAATACTCACTTTTTTTTTTATTCCTAGAAAGAACAATTGATCCAAAGTATGGAAAATAGTCTGAATAATAGAGCACAGATGCAAAGATGTTGGTGCCTGAGGTGGTAGGAGAACATGTTCCTTTCATTCTGATTGCTTCTAATTTCTCAAATAAGAAGCAGCACCGATAACGGATAATTAAGAGGTGGGAGAAGAGGTTTGGACTTGAATAGGGAAGAGAAGATATGAACTTGTCTTTTAGGAATGTCCACTAGAGAAAAGTGCCAGGACTGCAGGGTAGCACAGAGGGTCCATTTGAAGAGAGTGATCATGAGCTTAAGCTGAGAATAAAGGGCAGTTGTCTGTGTTTCTACAGCCACACTTGGCTCTGAAGGGGCAGGTGTAGTAGACAGAGAGTAGGCTTCAATCAATGAGAGAGCAGCAAAAAATGAATGTTGTAAGCAGTAATGCTAACGTTATGCTGGTTGAAAACATGGAAGTATCAATGAAGAGCTTTGAAATGTTGAAGTATTAAGAAGTGAACTGAAGAGAAAACTGATGGCTAAGAAAGAGTAGGATGCTTAAAATGGAGACTTCAGAGGTACATGGAACCAACAGTTAAGGATATAGAAGAAAAAATAACCAAGAATTATGATAGCGTAGTGCTAAAGATAATGAAAATGACATAGAGGAAAAATCTTCAGGGAACAGCGTAGCTTATCCTAGGATTAGAAGGCAACTTTAATAAGCAAGTGTAATTGGCAAGAGATGGGGACATGAGATTCAGAGCAAGTTGGTCATGTGGAAGAGAAAAGGAGCAGGATATAAGACCATCAGTGAGGGCCATAGACCCCTGCCTTACCTTCAGACTCAGGAATGAAAAGAGAGAAAACAATGGCACCTCCTTAAGAGGGCTGGTGGACAGCAGCTAGCAAGGGGACAGCCAGGATTCTATGAGAGCAAGACTAAGAGAACAAGAAGAAAAGAGAAGTATGTAGGGGATTTTGCTGACATCTAACCACGAGTTCTGCCAAGACTCAGTGGAAGGGCTCCAGCAGATGAGAAGAGGTGGCATATGGGGTCGGCAGAGACATACAGAATTGTGTGGTGATTCTTTAAGGGGAGGAGTGGTGACATAGGAAACCTGAATTTCTCATAGCAACTGAAATGCAAAGGGTGAAACCCATGAGGGTTGTAACTGTTCCAAAGTAGAACAGACTTTTAATGTGCTGCCATTCTTCTATTTCATGACACAAACTGTTTTTTTCCAGTTACCACTTTTCATTCCTTTCTGAAAATGTAGAATATGTTGGATGTTGTTTTTCCCCTACATGTTTTATTCTACACACACACACACACACACACACACACACACTCAATCATGCTCTCTGCAGACCAGCTGGCCTCTGCATACAGTATCTCACCTGGACCTTGGACAAGAAAGGATTAGGTGCCTACCTGGCATATGGATGTTTCAGGATCACACAGGCTACTGTGTCCATTGCACTGACATGGAACACAGGTTCCCAGGGTGGGACCAGGGATGCGGCCACGTGGTTCAGAACGAAGTCGATAAAATCCTGGCATACATGTCTGAAAGAAAAGAAAGCCAATTAGGACAGCCAAGTAGAAATCTTGCTTTAGCAATGAAAATTCTGGTTATGAAGATGGACTTCTTTTTCCAATGTGTGATAGGAAACTCAAGTGCCTGTTGATACCTAATGTCAATTTTTGCTGGGTCCCTCCTCTGTACACAGATATAGGCAGCATCCATGTAACCAGATATTAGTGAAAAAAAAAAAGCTTTCATTTTCAGTATAGCTCTTTGCCTGAATAAGTTTTACTGTTTTTTTTTCCCACTTGAGAAAGAGGTTTATTTTTAATTAACATTGTCATATGGGCTAACAAGACAATTCTAACATCCTTGACAACCTAAAATCTGTTTCTACTGTATTAAATGAATAGCAAATGTCCAATGAAATTCATCAAAAAATTTTAAAATGTCAAGAATGCATTATATATATTGATATTATGTAAAGAATATAAAAGGAAGAAATGCAAAATAATCAAAGCTATGCATTTCTTGGGACTATTGGGCTACCAATAAAAATTTTCTTTCCCTGATCTATTTTTTTTTCATTTTGCAATAAAAATCTGAAAGCCAACAGAAAATTGCTAATGAAGTGGATGAAATCAAGATGTTCATCTTCATTCAGTTATTATATAAATGTATCAAAAACATGTCTGGCTTTCTGGAAGGAAGACCCCAGCTCTAGAGAGGACAGTCTGAGTTCCAGGCTCAGACACCTAGCATTCATCAAACAAAGCTTCATTTCTGGTTAAAAGGTAGTGATCTGTTTTTCAGATTCCACTGATTATAAATGGGCTGTTTTACCAACTTAGCTAATGAAGATTTTTTTTTCACTTAAAAATTTTGCTCCCATTAAAGGAAGAAAAATGATTGATGAAAATGAAGGAAAAAATATTGGATTAAGAACTTCCTACTGCCTCATATCCTTTTGATTCTGGCATTAAGTAGTCCAGATTGGAATATACATGGATTGCTCAGAAAGAGAAAAGTGATCAATACTCAGTAACCTCATCCTGTTTATTTTGATTTGGATAATGTGTACCTCAATTAAGTACTTAATTAAGAGTCTCTCTGCTTTTATCAGCCAATAATAAATTTTAATGAGATTTAATAATGCCTCAGCTTTAAGCAAAACTGATAGAGAAAATTGAAAAGAGTATTCAAAAGATTTTGCATTTTGTTTGTGTCACAGTGGACATAATGATATATATGATAAAGCTTCTTCCTATTATCTACTTTATAGCAGTTTTTCTGTAGATTTATAGGAATATAATTTTATAGCAATTTTCACCATTGCTGTAGAATAAGATCTGGGAATTAATTGAGGAATTAATTTAAGAATAATTGAAGAAACATACTGAGGTATATTTAGGAGAGGTTCCCAGTGTAGGCTGTCCCAATTTGTTAGTGTGCAAACTATTGAATAAAGATGAATTTTATTTGCATGGATTTCATCCCTGAATATCTTCCTAAGATATTATTATTATATTGTTATTTTATTGGTATAGGTGCTAGGTGTATCTCTCTCTCTTTCTCTCTGTAAAAATGACACAAATTAAGAGGAGACCCCTAGCTTCACTTCATATCTCCAAACAAAAGCTTAAAACAAGTCTTAGCAGAACAAACTTAATAAATAATATTCTTCACTGAGGAATAATATGAAGCTCAGCATTACAGACTGATATGTGCAGATGAGCACTCAGGCAATATGGACTGTAATGCACAAGACACTTGCTGTGGCGCTTTCCTGGAGCTAGTATGGCTCAGTAGAAAAGCACCTGTAGTGGGTGTCCACAGCCTGAGCTACAAGTTGAGTTCTGTATAGAACTTTCTAGACTTTTCTCTGTGGTTCTCATAGTTATCCAGGGAGCTTTTAAATGTACTGATAATTGGCTCCACCCCTAGGGATCCTAGGATTGGTTTTAAAACTCCTGGGAGATTATGATAAGCATATCAGGTTTGCAATTGACCAGTATGCTTCCCCATTTCCCCTTTTTGCTTTCAGAGGGGCGTGCACACTCCTTGATATTATGGCATAATGAATACGGAAACCATGGTTGTAAAGGTAGTTTTTTTTTTTTTCTTTAGATGTGGTCAAATTAATTATCTGTTTTACACAGTTTCCTCATCCCACAAATAAGCAGGTCTGTTAACTCAGAGGATTTCTGATGTTTCCAAAATTTTAGATTATTATTGTGCCCTGATAGATTATAACAATGAGTTACCAAAGGGCGGGGGGAACTATTCCACAATGCAAAAATTTAGAAATTTTAAAGAAACTATGTGACCTTTTTATTTCTTTTTAATCTTCTCTTTTTTCTGGATCTTTTGTATTTATTCGTTACATTTAAAAAATAATAATGTTTTTCAATATTTATGCCTCCTAAGACTCTAAGTGAACTGAGATTACTCATGAGAATAATTATATTTGAATTAGGATTAAAAACATCTGCTTGGGTTGGGGATGTGGCTCAAGCAGTAATGCACTTGCCTGGCATGCGCGGGGTGCTGGGTTCAATCCTAAATACCATATAAAAATAAAAAAAGATGTTATGTCCACCAAAAACTAAAAAAATAAATATTAAAAAATTCTCTCTCTCTCTCTCTTAAAAAAAAACACCTGCTTTACAATGTCTCATCTAAAATTCTTTCTAGAACACAATGGTGAATTAAAGAAAAGCAAACAAATGAAAATTTTACTGAGTTCATTTTATCTTTTCTTTTTCTTGAACTTAAACTTTTCTGCAGTTTTCTTCTCACACACTGAAATTATGCATAGCTCAATTGATTCTGCTTTCTTTCCACTTTTACTTTCATAATATAATGTCTCTTAAAAATATTAGAATCCAATTTGTACAAAAATGTGAAAAACTAGAGAGAACAGAATGAAACATGAGAGAGGCCAGCAAGCCCCAGGCTCAGCGCTGCGCAGCACCCTTCCATTGTAATGGAGAAAATCCTACATAAAATTTTGGAAAGCTTTAGCTGTTTCAAGTAGTGAGAAATGAACATGAGTTTAGTAATACCTTCTTTCCTCACAGTTCAACAATTAAAAATAGATATTTGAGCTCGAGCCAATAAAAATACTCTTGTCTTTTATCTTTGCATGGGTTTCTCAACCAGGCAAAGTTAACTTCAGTTAATTTGTTCAACCTCTTGCTACATGTGATTATTGTGCAGGTTTCATGTACTACAGACCTCAGTTTCCTCACCTGGAACATAAGAATCTTGTACAACATAATAGCTGAGTATAAGTTTATCTGCATTTTATAAATAGACCTACTGTGGTTCAAATTACAGTTTTTCTTATGCTTAGCTGTGGGATCATCATAAACAAGTTCCTTAATGTGCCTAAGCTTCAATTTCCTCATTCATTACATCCATTACATCATACTTGATGATGGTATATGTATATTAGGAAAGGTGATTGGACTTGTTCAGGATATAGTAAGCATTCAATAAATAAGTTTTGTTTTGTACAGCATTGTTGTAAGAATTAAATGGCATAACTTGACTTAAAATAAATCAACAGATATGCAGAGGATAAATTAAAAATAAAGGCAATTGTGATTCTTCTGAGCTACATTGTGAAAGAAAATGACAATGTATGTCATTATCCTTACCATGTTTTCAAAATTTGTATGCACATATCAGTCAACCATAGATTAAATATACAGTGGTGGACCTATAAAATTATATTGCCTATTGATATTTTAGCTGGCTTAGTTTATGTGAGTATACTTTATTATGTTCATACAGTGATGAAATTGACTAATGACACAGTTCTTAGGACATGTCCCTGTTGTTAAACAGCACATGACTAAACACTCAGTTGAAAACTGAGTTTTGAGTCTCCTATGTACAACTGAATGTGTTAAAGGAGACCCTGAAAGGTGGGAATGTATAAGGGGACAAGTCTACTTCCACATTTTGTCTTTTAGATTTTATCATTTGATAATAGTCATAAACTAGGGATTTAAAAAATTAGTTTGCCACGAGTGACTGATTATGAGTGGTGACCCAACGGGCACCAGCCATTCAACTGTGAGTTGGAATCCCTACTATAATATAGGAGGTGGGGGGGAGAGGCTGAAACTATTAAAACATGACCTAGAAATCATTGGTGAATTTTTGATTCCCATGATATGATTGCAAAGAACATATATTTAATATAGGATATTTTCCATTTTTAAGAAAAAAAATAATTTCATGAATATGAATAGTACCTGCATACATCCTAAACTGACTTTAGTTTAGTTTAGGCAACATGCTAAGCCTAACCTAACCTGAAGAACAGGTAAATTCCAAGACTCTAACAAAAACAAATCTAGTAATGAAATAGTGCCCTATATTTGATTTGTAAAGGTAATCATAAATTTTAATGATTGGGCTCTTTTAGCACTAGCATTGTTAATGAGCAGGGATGCAGTTATAATGCTACAAGTGACAAGTAGGTCTTTAAAACTTGAATTATTTTAAGTGTAACCAATACTTTTTTTTTTTTTTTTTGGTCTATGTGCAGTCACATTTTGTGTAAAAAAACATGAAATGAAGAGCCTGAAATGTAGATATCTCTAGAATACCACACATTTGGTGAAAATACTGTGAAGGAATTGCTTTGTGTATTCATGACCCAAAGCATATGTTACTGGAATGGGATGTACTGTTTCAAAACTGTCCTTAGCTCTTGCTTTGATGATTAGATTTTTACGCCTGGTAATTGCACTTTAGAATCAAGATGAATCATAAATAAGATGTATAATGGATTAGAGGCAATGGGTTGTGCCATACATCTCAGGTACCCTATTATGAGAGATAAGCCTTTATCTTTATAATCTCTTCACTAAGATATTACTGTAATTATTGTCTGTAAATAGGAGCTTAGGTGAAATTCACAGGACACAGACAAAGCCACCAGTACAGATGATTGAACATATTCCCAATTTTTCTTGATTTTATTCTTTTATCATTTTTTAATTTGTACTAATTTATATTTTCATACAATGGAAAATTACTAAAATTAATAGGAAATCATGTTTTAGAACATATTATTCAAAAAGCCTACTGACCATGATAAGAAGGGATTTTAACATTTGAAATCAGCAAAGGAAGGTAAATTGCATTAAAATAAATTGCCACTCCATCAACAGTTTTGTTAGTAAGTGATCAGTATTATTTTAAATAAATTCAGATAAAATAGAGTTGTAATAACTTTCTTTCAAGATATCTAAACGTCAACTTTGAGTATTTGCTGGATATTTTCTATAACAGAATAATATTGCAGAGTCAGAGAATTTTAGAACTTCAAAACCCAACCTGTCATTTCATAGATTGGATAACTATATAACTAATGACTATAACAATTAAGGGAATTGACCAAAGATACACAGTGAGTCAGCAGTGCAGCTGCACACTCCCTGGAATAAATAAAAGTTCATCTCTTGTCTGGAAAAATCTGAAGTTCTTTCTGTCCTTTATATCTTTCATGCTCACTGGGAAGTTAACATATTTTATACGAGCACACTGTCTCATTATTTACTTATAATTTATACACTGTGTATGAATGTGTATATTTGGATGGGCTGTATGTATGTATAAATGCAATACATGTACCTACATGTAGGTATACCAATGTATAAGTTGATGTACATAGGAGTTATGATTTAATAATAAAATTGATTATTTGTTTATTTATTAAATCAAGCTAGGCACATTCAAATGTATTTTGCCCTCAGAGCAGTAACAGAAAGAGGCTATGAAATTATTTCAAGGTCGCTTCACAAGATTTCTGAGTTATGCTATGAAATTTCTCTGCATGGTGTAAATACATATGATAATAACATCAGTTTACAATGGGGCTTTCCACATATGTTTTCACTTAAGTTAATCCTTATGAAAATTTAATAGGTAAACTCTCCCAAGGTCAGTAACAATCAAGAGAAGGTGCCCCATTCAGCATGGGAGCCAGACTAGGTAAGATTCACCAAAACCAAATGCCTTTTTCTTTTCATTTTGCCATGCCACTTCTCAGGAATATTCAGTATTTTAAAATTGTACTTTTGTTTTGTGCTAAGAGCCAAGTATATGATGCATGGCATTTTTGGTTGAAAGGTGAAGCCAGCTAGCCATTGAGATGATATGATTATGTTAAGATTTGCATTCATATGGATATTGGACTCCTGCTGTTCACCTTGGCCTGCTACAGGACTCCTGGAGAGTTCCCATTGGTTGGGGAAGTACAGTAGGAGGGAGTTCCGGGGGAGGAACTCTCGCTGGCCTCTGGGAGGAGGCCCCGTGGGTGGATCAGAAATCTTCCCGGGCGCGTACCGGACATTGGCGGCAGTTTCAAAAAATAAAGTTTGTTCCTGCTTGAGTGGCTCGTGATTTTGTGCCCAGCCAGACTGCGGCAGTTTTGACCTGGTGTCATCATTTGATTTGTGTGCCATACTTAACAAAAATTCCCAAATCTATTCACAGAATAAGGTATAGAAAATCATTTATACATAAATCAACACATGGATGTATAGTTATGACAATAATAATATTAACCTCAATAACTAGCACTGACTCTATGCCAGACTTGGTGACAAGGGCTTAAAGCTCATAGCTTATTTTGTTTTAATAAGATTCATAAGCTGTAGGAAAGAGAGTTATTAATATTATTTGACTACTATGCCATGGGCACCAACCACTGCGACTAATGAGAAAGAATCTTGACTATCTAGAAGGTTCCTGAGGCCCCTCTCAGGCCAAGTGTTGGACTAGGGGTCTGCAGGAGAGGCCAAGTGTGGTGGCAGTTATTCTGGGATTTGGAAATGCACCATCTTCCCCTGAAAGAGCTTTTGTAACCTGTTGCAAGGTCTCAGCCCTAGTACATGGTGAAGCTGAGGTTCAAACTCATTTCTCATCCATTTCATGTTTCCAGCATTATCTCTATTAATTGATATTTGTAGAAATTGAATTGACTTCCAGAAGATGAAGATCTACAAAATTTTCCAATTCTGAAGGTAGTCAAAAGAATATCCCGGAAAATTATTTTTTTTATAAAGGTCGTTTTGAAAATGCAGTGACTAAATGACAGCAGCACTATTGAAACAATATATATCATTCTAAGAAGCCACATTGAAGGGAACAGCCTGCTGCTTAGTGCTTAAGTTTTGTTATGATCTCTATAAAAACACTTTCAAAACCTGATACAATCGTATCTCATAATCACTGAAGTTGAAATGCCTCTAACTGTTCAGAAATAGTGCCAAGAAAATAGATCAGTTATAATAGACGGGCCTTTTGAAAACACTGTTATCTCCCAACTGTTTCATATTTTTTATGAATCTTTTAATTTTTTATCAAATATTTCTCTTTAGCTCTGATTTGTACTCCTTGGTCACAATAACATCATCCTCTTGCTACTGTTTCTCACACTGTGAGGGAAAGATCCAATAAAACAGGTGAAGACTATGTATGAAATCACAACTGGGATTTGGGAATGCACCATCTTCCCCTGAAAGAGCTTTTGTAATCTGTTGCAAGGTCTCAGCCCCTAAGAGGGTGTAGGATATTCCACTTGGCTCCTGAAATGAGGGGAAGGGGGTCAGTAGCAGCCAGCTTACCTCACAGGACAATCCAGAATAGCCCACAGGACAATCACATTTTTCTATCAAGTGAGCTGGAGGACTCTCTGTAGTTATACGCCCTGGTTCAGCTACCTCCATGGCAATTTCAGAAATTCTGGAAAGAGCAAATACATACTTAGATGATCCCATCAGCCAGCTCAGGTCACCTCAAAATACTCAACCCTGCAAGAAGACTCTCTTCAGATTCTTATCAACCTCAAGTGCGTTTTGGTATGTGTACATATAATCGAAAGATTCAATTAAGTTAATTAAATATATTGTTTTGAAGCTGCCTCTATCTACAGGGGCTCATGTGTCACATTTGCCTTCTACATTTTTGCTTCCTCAAAGATTGAGATTACATATTAGCAAAAAATCCGCATAAATCCTAAGGAGTTCAGTAAATTGGATATCTGATATCCTGTTGAGACTTTATTATAAAGATTTCCTCTCCACTTTTTAAAGTGTGAGTGGCTTCAGGTAGACATGGACATTTAATTAGACATTTAGATTTTTTTTCAAACAGACAACCCAAGGTCATTCCCTGTAAGAATATCTCCTGTAGTCACTAGTGAAATTGCTTTTAATGTATTAGTGTTCCCAATTTCTTCCTATCTAGCCTCTGAATATCCTTTCAAGAACTTTAGAAAACCACCCAGAAAACAACAATCTAGCATGATATAATATTGGTGTATTCATAAGGACAAAGAAAGAACATTTCAAATTAATATTTTATTAACTTCATTAAAATAAATTCTTCAAGTGACTTAATGCACCCTTCCTATTGCTGAAAAATACCTTATAATTGATAAAAAGATCACAGTGAAAATATTGATATCCTTTTCATTAATTTGAAATTATACATTAAAAATATACACAGTCCATAAACTCAGACTATTTCATGATTGACTAACTGGTAACATGAAAATGTTCTGCAAATAAACTTTTAAATGAGACAATGAACAGTTTTGCTTCAATAAAAGTCACCTCCAATAGTCCAAGGAGTTGCAATCATAAACTTTATAACAAGCATAGGTAAGTTTCATTGAGTTATGAATGCACATTCTGGTTTCACTAGCATTGTAATCTGCACTCTGAAGATGAGCCCGTCTTTATGACACGTATGTTCAGCTAAAAATCAGGTTTCATTCTCCCTTCCTTAGAGTACATACAGTGGTAGTAAGCTATAAATAAACCAGTCCCCTCTGGTAAAAGAAACTCCACTCTTCTATTACCCTCAGGCTCTTTGTGGGAGCAAGAAGGTAACTTGGTATTGTTGAGGAGCCCTCTCTCCATGGTATTTTATAGCCATAGATATATTACCATCATATCGCCTCCTCTGCCTTGCACAAGTATGCACATGACAGACCAACAAGTGTTTAAAAATCAACTGAAGCAACAATAGATAATTCTGCAATGCAAAGTTTTTCTCCAGGGATTCAAGGGGATTCCAGGAAGGTGGAAGAGTGGCTATGCGGGATAGATAGAAATGCAATGATTTTGTCTGTATCCGAGATATGGCTTCTATTTCAATGAATGCTGAATGGCAAAAGTTATTTCCTGTAGAGTACAGGAAAGGGACCAGGGAGAGGACAGAGGGGAGGGAAATGGGAACTACTGGGGAATGATATAGGTCAAAATATATTATTATATTATGTGCATAAATGAATATGTACCTATGAATTCCACTATCATGTACAACTGTAATGCACCAATAAAAATATGGGAAAAATTTTAAAGTTATTTGTTTCAAACAAAGGTAAGAAAAGGCCAAATCAAGGAAAAATGAAAAGGCTAGGTTGACAAAAATGTGTAAAGTGTGAATCTCCAACCACACATATAATTGAAAGTCTCTGCTTTTGAGACTATTAAATTTTATATAATAATAAAGATGTAGGATTGTGTGTTATATTTTGGGAAAATATTTTAACTTTTTCCCAACATTTGTCATGATTCCACTGCCTCACAAGATCAGGTGCTGATTATCTGCTTTATTCTTATCATTGCTAGATGTTTTGCTAATTTTTAATGGGGTTTAGAAAAAGGGAAATATTTTTTTAAGTTTCATAAAATTGTCACTTAAACCAAAGGTTGTCATTAGTTAATGAGAAAGAATATGATAAGAGAAAGAGACATATGGGGGTTCAGAGACAAAGTGTCACATTGTAGAAAGGCTAAATTGGTGAGAAAGGGAAAGGAAGTGCATTGAAAATGAATGACAATATTGTTTCCATCAGTTCCACAAAAAAAATGTTTTGTGACCTACCTAACTCTTGGTGCAGCTTGGAACAATTTGCTAAATAATGGATTTGCATATCTATGACATGCAAACCTGCTTTGGCTTCTACCACCTACTGTACATTTGATATTCTAAAATAATTAACAATATAGCTGACAGCACTTCTTCAGTACATGATTTTTATTATTCCATATGAAATGTAACTCCTGTTACAGTGAGGAATGTGACAAGGAAACCAAAGGAATATAGATTAGAAAGTGAAATTTTTGTCCTCGATTTACTCTTTTACCTGAAGTCCCTATATCAATCAAAAAAGGAATATGGATCTTCATGAAATGAAAAATTATTTTGCTATATTATATACTTATTACAGTATAAATATTTGAAATATGAGATTTTTAGATGCATTAATTTGACAATGATAGGCTTCATAATTTTGTGTTGTTTTCTTGGCCTGGTTTACTAATTTATCATGTAAGATTAGTTTTACTAACATATATTGCTTCCATATTCTTACAGAACATAAGAGAAAAATACATGAACAATAAATTGAGACTACTGTATGAAATCAACTCAACCTTCTACTTTTATGGTATAAGACTTACCTACATCTGAGTGATTTCTCATTTTATCTCATTGAATAAGTTGCTCATTCTACTAAAGAAAAATATGTGTGATCAAAGTCTCCTGGCTTCACCATTATTCTCTCTTTATTCTTATTTTTAACATTTTCTTTGCTACTAATCCTTTCCTAACAGTCATTAAAATGATTACTTCTGTCTCAAATTGAACAATTATCCCTTGACTTTTGACACTGTCATTCCTCCCTTTTGTAATTACATTCATGGAAACAGCAGTGCATGCTCACAATGTTTGGTTCATGGTGTGCTGTTCATTCTTTAAAATTCTGAGATTATTCCTGCACCAGGACTCCATTGAAACTGACATTAAGAATGTCGCCAGTGTGGTCCTAAGTGTCAGTCCCAATAAGCTTCATTTAAACTGGCCTCTTTGAGTCATACCAAACTTTGAATACTCCCTGGAAGTATTACAATGGCTTGGCTTCCATGATACCTCATTCATTCTTGCTGTTCTTCTGTGTGTGTGTGTGTGTGTGTGTGTTTTCAATATGATTCCCAGTTGTTTTATGTCACGACGCATAGGTAAATGGTGCATAGGGGAAATACATGGATGGTACACTGGGGTGAACACATGAGGATGCTCAGAGTTGGAAGAGACCAGACTAACTTGGCCCTACCTGGTTCCCCTGAGAGAAGAAGGAGGGCACTTTTCCCAATCTTATAACACATTTATGGCACAGCAACTAATTATATGTGATCTAAACTGCATGTTTTCCTGAATTTTGGATTAGCAATTTAACTCTCCCAATCTAAAGTGAATTCAATATTTTTTTTCTGATTTACTCAGCTTTTGGTGCTATTTTTCGTTTTTGGTAGTAATGCCACCCTTGGCTTGTTTTTTATCATCACATTCCAAAAGCAACCACTTCTAAATCTTATCTGGTGTCTTACTGACCTGAACTGAAGAGTCTACAGTCAGACCTTAATTTGAATATTTTCTGTCACAGTTTACCTGCTTTGTCGCATGATGTTTCCATAAGTAGCCTTGATAAGAATATAATGAATGTCATATAGTGTATCCAAGAAGTCTTCTCGGGTTACAGATCTAGTGACTCGAGGATCATCACCATAATATCTCCATTCTTTCTGTGAGCAAGAAAAGAAACCACGTTGACAACATTGAATGCAAAACAATTGTTATCCTGGTACTAATCAACCAATAACTTTACCTCTGTCATTTCAATTTCATGCCTTGTCAGTTGACCAATGAGCGGTGCAGCCACATGCCTGATGATAATTCTAGCATGAGTAGGAGTCCCACCTCGAATGATAACTTGAGGTTTATAAGTAGAGAAGCCTGTTTCTTCCCGAGCCTCAAAATAGATTGTGTACTTGAGTTTGCCTCCGTAGGCCATCAACTAACAAAAGAAAATGGAGATGTAGGTAATACTCCAAACAGTGTGATTCCAAAAGCATCTTTTACTTTTTATTTGTTCTTATGTGAATTCAGAAGTGTTTTATTTATTTATTTATTTATTTTACCTTCTTTCCTTCAAATTGTTCTGGGAGTTTCCAATAAAAAGGTTCCAAGTGGAGGTCTTGTCTCACCAGATCCATGTCTGCTACAATCTCAGGATGTTGAAAAGCAATGCCTTTGGTAGTTGTGTGCTGCAGAGCCTCGTCCACTAGAGGCAGAATGGTCTGCTCAGCCTTCAGAGTTACCTGGGTTAGGTAAAAAATGCAACCGGAAGCTGAGTTGAAGTCTTTGGGGCATTAATAAGTTATGGGCTGTACATCTATCTATCTACGGTGCCTATTTCCATTCTATTGAGGGGTTCTCACAAGAAATAGAGCACCTAGTGGTGAGCACGCCAGGGGATGAGTCCTTTTAACTAGTGTGCATAGTGAAAACTATAATATCTGAAAACTGAAATATTTTATACTAATAAAAATAGAATTTAAAAGTAAAAAGAGTTAAAAGAAAAATAAGGTTAAATATGAGCATGCTCCCACACTAAAAACTGAAAATTTCCTAAGGACTGTTGGAATACATGTAACAAGTTCTGGTGGTTTTCATTGCTGCATTACTACATATCAAAATTCATGCTCTGGTGCCCTCATTCCTCAAGACAGAGCTTCTTCCCTTGTGAAAGGGTAATGCCCTCCCTGACAATGCTTCCTCTTCACTTCACATCTATTTCCTTATCAAGAATAAATGAACTATCTTTAAGGAAGAATTTTTTAAAAAGTCATTTACTCCATGTGCCTAATGGCACATAGCCCCTTTAGCATTTCTGAACGTGCACAGGGGAAAAGATTACTTAAATGTTTTGCCATTACCTACCATCCCTCGGTGCCCAACTAAAAGATGCCAGCAGGAACTAATATTATGCCATTACACGGCTCAGCAACTCCGTACTCACCCACGTTCGGATCAGTCCTTTTGCTTCAGAGCACCCAGTAGTAACACCGAAGCAATAGCAGCTGCTGCAGCCAAGTGGGTTCTTGGCATCAAGTCCAAATTTCCCTGGCCGACACCTGTCACAGTGGATGCCTTCCACATTCACCTGAAGAAAGAAGAGAGCCCATTCGAGTTCATAACAGCAATGTTAGGAGGAGACCAACTTAACAGTGAATAATAGGAACACATTTATACTTCATTAATAAAATAAAAGAATACTGAATATTAGACTCACATCTTAATGCCATATGTATTTAACCTTACTGTTAGGTTGCATGGGTTTTTAAAAGAAGTATTTTGTTTATAAATGCATCAATTACTAAGGGTAGTGGATACATATTTTTTAAATTTAAGTGGCACTTTTCTTACAATTCTGCTGTGAGCAATATGAAAGCCTCATGAGAATTCCAAAAGTAAAATTAAAACAGGCAGAGGTTAAAAAACGTACATTTTCAAGTTATAATATAATGTTTGTGTCATATAACACATATTATATACAGCACATAAATATAACTATACTATGTAATAGTGTAGCCTTGTACTTAGTTTTGACTGGGTCCTTTGTTGATAGAAGTTGTCATTTTCCTAAATCCTTAAAACTATACTGACAACCACTCCCAGATTACCTCTTTCTGTTTTCTCTGTCTCTCTTTCCATAGATTTTTACCTTGAAAAGATCCCTCTGACACAGTTTTAGCTGCATGTATCCTGGATTGATTTTTCAGAAATGTTTAACAGGGAAAATCCTTCATCCTTTTTAATTGTCTGTTTTTCTACATCATTTGACAATATTAATGAGAGCTGAAATTTGCACAGTCACTCTTTGTAACGTCAGTGTTTGTATGTGGTGAAATTTTACTGAATTTTCTTAGCAGTAAATGCATTTCCCAATATGCAGTGATTAAAGATTAAGTTTAGGAGAGAAATTTTTTTTAAGCCTAGTGTTTAGCTGTGATTTTTTTCTGATGTTTAAAAAAAGTCTTATTTGCCCCACCCCACAGATTATTCTAGTTTAATCACAGGAAATATATATATATATATATATATATATATATATATATATATATATATATATATATATAAACTACTTTAGCTTTAGTATTGAAAATACATCATCTGTATCAACTGGAAAAGAGTTGGGTTTGGGTTGAAAGTAAGTTATTGAAAAGCATAACTTATCTGTGCTGGAGAAATTTTGGCAATGATCTTTTTTTTTTTTTTTGGTACAGCTTAATGAAACAGGATTAACAAATACCTCATAAAGTTGAAACTGAAGAATGGAATCAGAATTGAGGCTTTTCCTTGAAGCATTTCAACAGCATATTACCTTACAAGTGCACTGCCCAGTTTGATCACTACAAGAGCATTTTCCAGTCTCTGAGTCACAGGTGGAGGCATCTGTCCCTGGCAGGAAGCAGTCACAGAGATTGCAGTGAGGGTAGTTCCAGTGACCTCGATTACACTCTGAACATTTTGCACCAGAGAATTTTGGGTGACACTTGCACTGGCCTGTGTTCACATTGCACTGGAAATCCAAGGAGCCCACCATGCTGCAATTACAAGCCTACAGAGGAGAGAAAGACAGTGACTGTTAATACAGCTTCATAGGAAATATCTTCAACTTTAATCTTAATGCTCCTAGGCTTTATTCAAACACATAACAATCCTGTATCTATCATATGCTTTGTACTATTTGTTTTAGTTACTTGGGAAACATCAGTAGATCCAAAAGTTAAAATTGCTCCTTCCATTTATACAAATAGAAATAATAATGCTATGTGAATAAGAAGAAATGTATTTATTTCTGTCTTTCCATAGTGGGGAAGGGTTAGATATGGGTTTTCTTCAAATACTTTTTGCTTCAAAGAGTATACTTCAGACAACCAAATTTCATTTCATATTCACTACACATTGATTCACTACTGAAGCATGAAAGTTCTATGGGAGCATACCTATGTCCAGTGGAGGGAGACCAATAAATACATATTATAACATGACAGAATAAGCACTATACAATGGAAAATGGTATGAGAACATAAGAGGAGAAGCAATCCAGATGCAGAGAAGCCAGGGAGACCTTCAAGACTTGACATCTTATTTATTGGTTTTTGAAGTTTAGCTTTGCAGACAGCCCAGATTTGAGGAAATTGACTGGTGACCTCTGTTCTTCACCTCAGTTGTATGCATTATTTTCAGTTTGTTTATGTAATGCAAATTTTTGCTCAATATTTTAAAAATTTGAGGGTATTCATTAATTTACCAGAACATGGTGAGTTCTTTCAGTTTGAGAAATAATAATGAAAAAATAATAATAGTAATTATTATTATTATTATTAGGTACTGGGGTTTAAACTCAGGAGCACTAAAACACTGTGTCACAAACCCAGTCCTTTATTGTATTTTATTTAGAGAGAGGGTCTCACTGAGTTGCTTAGTGCCTTGTTGAACTGCTGAGTCTGGCTTTCAACCCTTGATCCTCCTGCCTCATTCTCCTGAGTCGTTGGAATTACAGTGCAAAATTGTTTTTGATGCAAATTTGACTCTTATTCTGATGTATTGTTGATATTTTTATCTGTTCTATTTTATTAATTTTTTTTCTTCAGGATCAACTATAATTCTTAAAGGACATTACTTTTATCTGTCTGTCAAATCTAATCTCCTAATGTCTTCCCTAATCCTCTTCCTTCCTTTACCTTTCTAGTTGTATTGACATTTCAAATTTGTTCCCCATTTTTTCAGTTCCTGTTTTATATAATGAGAACTTTCTGGTATGTCTATAGCACCAATGCATGTTTTAATTAAAATTGCAGTTTTATCTTCTTTTGAATAATTTCTTTTGCATTTCACTCATTTTCAATTTCTGATCTCCCAGTTATCCTTTTGTCTTACATTCTTAAGAGTTTCTGCTCTTGATCTAGAGTTCATATCTCTTGACATTTAGTGAAAATTCCAGTGGGTTCCTAACAAGTCATTTAGAATCTTGGAATAAATCATTTTCAGGGGCCATTTGTGCCACTTGTCAAACTACAGGCTCTAGCTCCAAATCCACCCTGCTTTACTGTCAAGAGACTGTAGAAATATCTCTAAGGCCAGGTTGCAGTGTGTCAGGCTTTGCCAATGAAGGCCCTGAAAAGATCCAAAGAGGTCCAAGAAACTTCCATCCTGTTTGTGTTTCTTTATTAATATTGTTACCATTTACCATTATTATTTTATTATTTAGTACAGATTCCTAGAGGCCCTGAAGTTATCCCAGCTGTGCCTTCAGGCCACTCTCCCCCATAGGCACCTTTCTCAATGGCTTCACTCCGCATCATACAACTCTGAGATGATACTGCTTCTGAGTAGCTCCTGCATGTCTATACTCCCCCAAAATGGTACTGCTTCCAAAGATGAGCACTTGCCCACTAACTCTGGTGATTTGCTTTTTTTTTTTTTCAATGACAAGTAGGCTGTTGATACCTGTGGTTTCTACACCCTCCTTTGAATGTCAGCCTCACCAGGGTGAGGGGTGTGCTCCCTCCTAGCCCTCAGTTCCTTTAGTGTCCACTCTCTCTTGGCTGACAGATGGTAGCTGCTCTTTTCTACATGCTATGTCAAGAACTTTAATAACTCTTTTATTATTTTTAAATTAGTAATTACCTTTTTTTCAGTTAACCATTATTTATATACAAATTTCCCTATTTACAGAAACTGTGTGGTTTCTCTCTCCCGACTGGGGCCTGAGTTGGTACTCAAATGAGACTCACACCTCTCTGTCTGACTTTACCACCATATGGTGTTTATGCTTTGTGACCTCACTTTATCATCCTTCTCAGATCTACAGCTCTAATGCAGAACCAAGTCTGGCTCCCACTTCATTGCTCAGCTTAATTCTTCTATCCACTGTCAATGGGGACATCCCTGCTTCTGTTCCTCCTAATAATAGCTTACTTAGAAGACTACTCTTTTTAGGATGTAACACACAATCATCAGTTTCTCTTGTGTTGTCTTTTTCTGCTCAAATGTTTGGTGACAAATCTTCTGAGACTCTGATATGAAAACAATCAGGCTTTACTTTGCATGTTTTACAGTATTTTTCTATCTCTTCATTGCTATGGAGGAAAAAGGCTGCAATAGAGATGGCTACTAAAGTTATTTTAAACCAAAAGTTCCAAAATTATTTGTTATATTTCAAACATGGGCATAACCCATTGTAATAACCCCCAAGTAACTCATCTTTGTAGAACATCAGAGGTAGAATGAAGTTTCAAAATTATGATGGTTTACTAATTAATTCATATAATTTTTTCTTGCCAATTGCATTAAATATGTATCGATTCACTTAAACAAGATGAGCCATAGTTAGAAACAAAAGTATGATATGGTATGGAAAACTACAGTTGTAGTTTTAAAAGTCCTTTGAAACATACATATCTTTAAATAATAAAAATAGAAAATGTCTGCTCCTGAATTTATTGTTCAAAACCATAGACAGAACAAATACTTGAGGAAGAATTGAGAGTAGACAGTGGGACCTGTCCAAATCAGGAAGTTTATTTGGGAAGCTAGAGTGGGGAATAAATGAGGCTATTAACTATATGCATAGATAACATGATATTAACATCAAACTTAAATAATAATTAAATGTAATGTTTGTTTAGCAATAAAGGATTTATTCACTATTCCCCTGCTAGTAAAGTGGCAGCTATGTATTCTACTTCAATAGCAGTTCAAATGATGTGTGTGCTCACACCTCAGCTCAGATAAATTATCCATGACACAAAGAAAGAGAAGCTAAATCCTCCAGTCACTGATCATTTAATTAAACTCATCCAAGTTTTGTAAGTACTAGAATGTATGCTTGTAAATAAATTATTTGTGAGGGCTACATTAATTGTTACTTTATGTAGTTCTTCATAATGTAAAATGTGTTACTATTCAGAAGTTTAGATTTTTAAAGATGGTTCAAAGGAATCAAAAATTTAAATCAGCTTAATGTTAATCCAAGGGCCAATAAAGTGATAGCACTAAAAAAACAACAACAACAACAACAAAAAACTATTCTTTTATAGAGATTTAAATTATATTCTATTCTGATTTACATCCTAAACATTAACTAACAGCTGTAATTTTAGGAGTTTCATTAGAGTTTGGCTATATCATAGGACTTTGTGGATAGAAGGGAAGAGATCCCTCAGATGCATGGATATGATGTTGGAAATACATAAAGTCAATCATAGAAATTTAGAGCATTATTTATACTCATAAGATCTGACATTCTTGAGAAATTTTAGTTTTGTTTCTCAAAATGGAGCTCTAGGAAATTTCAAATTTAACAATTCCATGGGCAATAGAAAAATGAATGTCCTGTGTCGTTTTTATTTTTTCCGATCACATGTTTAATTGAAGTCAGATCAACTTCCTCAAACAATTGCCAATAAATACCCTGTTCTCTCCAAATTCAGTATATTCTAGGTTGGCATTCAGATCTTTTATCACACATATATAAAAATGGATAGAGTCTACTATTGTACATAAGCTGAGTCGAAAAATGAGTTCCCATCTCTAGAGGGATCTAACAAAGAGATAACCACACCTGGTTATCACATTTATCACCTTTCAATATTCCCTAACTCAATCTGATTGATTGGAACAGCTCTAACTAACATAACAAATGTCCTTACTTACTGTTCTTACACTTAATGAACACAGTTCATCTTTAGTCTTACTTGGCCCTAATGTTATATTTGGGACTTAGGACTGGTTTTTCTTTTTGAACAGACTCTTTCTTAGTTTTTACAGCATGTAAAGCTTTACCTCCTCTCTTTTTCAGCTGTTAAACTAATAACTCAATAAATAAATAAAAACCAAGACACAATTGTATCAGACATTGGATAACAGAAATCACAGAACTGTAATTTAGACAAGAGAAAAACAAATGAGGCTGTGGTATATGGGGGGTGGAATTTCTAAGCTGCAATACACAGAGAGGAGAAACCAAAGGGACAAAGGGTGGAGTTTAGAGAAGGCAAAGCAACTAAAATTTATGGGAACAAGTATAACATATGTTCAAAAAGGAAGATGTTTGAATGAGAAAGAACTCCAGAGATTTGCACAAGGATCCCTTTGAGTCTTTGTCTGAAAGCTGATGAGTGCATATAGAACAAATTCTACTGGTTGGGGAAAATAAAGCATTAAAAAACCATGGGCTGAGTGAGCGGGATGTGGTGGTATGGCTGTAATCTCAGTGGTTAGGGAGACTAAGACAGGAGGATTGAGAGTTCAAAGGCACCCTCAGCAAAAACAAGGTGCTAAGCTACCCAGTGAGACCCTGTCTCTAAATAAAATACAAAATGGGGTTGGGGATGTGGCTCAGTGGTCAAGTGCCCCTGAAATCAATCCCCAGTACCAACAAAACAAAAAAACACAAACGAACAAAAAAACAAACTAAACCAAACCAAACAAAAAAATCCTGGACTGACAAAACACCTAGACTTCACAGTGATCTTGGAATAGTCTATATCACAACAGCAGGACAGGAGAGCCACAATATAATGCTTTGGGTAATGTTCTCAGAAGGGTCACACCTTAGTAATAGAGTTAAGTGGTCCCTGGATTTAAGGTTTTGCTATATCTTCCCTAACAGAACTTAAAAGCAAGCTTCAAAAATGTTCATATGATTAGTGAGTAACTAAATTGTTTGCAAGATAAAACTCAACACTCTTTAAAGGAATACAACAAAATTTTGATTCACCACTGTGAAAAATGTACAATATTTAGCACTCAAAATTTATCAGGCATGTGAAGAATCAAGAAAATGCGGGCTGGGGATGTGGCTCAAGCGGTAGCGCACTCGCCTGGCATGCGTGCTGCCCGGGTTCGATCCTCAGCACCACATACAAACAAAGATGTTGTGTCTGCCGAAAACTAAAAAATAATAAATATTAAAATTTAAAAAAAAAGAAAGAAAATGCAACTCAGAACCAAATAAACCAATAGGAAAGGTTGTGAAATAAATGATGGAATTAGCAATCATCTTGACACTACAAATATTTATAAATATCTTCAAAGATAAATAAAAATATGAGTGAATAGGGAAATTAAAACTATAAACAGATCCAAAAGATGATTATAATAACCAAAGATGTAATGTTTGATTTTTTAAAAATATATTCAATTGGATTAACAGAGTACACATGATAGAAAATTAATCTGTAAATTTGTATATTTAACAAAAACTGTCAAAAATGAAACACATAGGGAAGTGGTAATTCAAACAAACAAAGCTTCAATGAGATGTGGGGGAAAAAAACAAGTGGCCCAATGTACATATTAATGAGAAAAAGTGACTGGGGTAAAGTATAGGGAAGTATTTAAAGAAGTAATGGGTCAAAATTTTTCCAAATTTGAAAAAATGGTCATCTTACAAAATCAACAGATCCAACTAATCTTGGGGGGCGGGGGCATAAAATTATATATTAAAAAAAAACAGTATAACTGAGTAGCTGAAAACCAATATCCATCTGTATATCTATTTACTCTCCAAAAATATCTTTGAAAAATGAAGAAAAAATAGACGTTTTTAAGCAAAAAAGGAAAGAATCATTGTCAGTAGACTAAAATACTAGAAAAAATAACAATGAAAATTAGGAAGGTAGTAAATAAAAGAAGAAAAATGGTATGATATGGAAAGTTGGATATGTAAAAAGGAATTAAGAGCATTGGAATTAAATATATATATATATATATATATATATATATATACACATTATATATATACACACATATATCTGCATATGTGTATATATATGGAAAAACAGAAAAAAATATTTTTCTTCTTTGAAAAAGATATTGACTATTTAAATCAAAATCATAGATTATATTTTATATAATATATATATATATATATATATATATATTATATCTCAAAAAATTGTGAGATATATACCACAAATAAATAAAATATATGATAATATCACAAAGAATAGGAAAAAGCAATTGGAGATTTATCACTGTAAAGGTTGTTATGATATATGTAAAAAGGTCTTATATAAGGTAGTTTTGGGAAAGTGAAAAGTGTATACCCCTCAAAAAACAACTAATCCATAAAACAAACAGGGTTACCCAATAATATAAAAGTGAAAGAAAACTGTCATTATAAAAGTTATTCAATCCAAAAGAAGGCAGGAAAATAAGAGAAAAGATAAGAATAGATAAGGCAAGTTAAAAGTGAACAGAAAAAGCAGAAGTAGTCTGGTGTGGTGGTATACACCTGTAATCTCAGCAGTTTAGGAGACTGAGGCAGGAGGATTACAAATTCAAAGCCAGCCTTAGCAATTTAGTGAGTCCCTAAACAACTTAGTGAGACCTTATCTGAAAATAAAAAAAAAAAATAAAAATAAAAAGGGTGAAGGATCTGGCTCAGTGGCTCAGTGCCTCTGGGTTTAATCCCCAGTATGGGGATGGGAGGGAGGGGCACATAATCTAATCATATCAATACTACATTAAATAAAAATGATTTAAATACTATAATTAAAAGTCCAAAGTATTAAGACTGAACAAACAACAAATATTTAAATATGCAATACCTAAATGAAACACTGAAATATTAGATATAACATAAAACAATTTTTGTGGAAAAATATACATAACACACCATGCAAATACCAAGCACAACAAAGATACAATGGCTATATAAATATTAGAAAAAAAGAACATTTCAGAAGAAGGAATATTATCAGGACTAAAAAAGGACATTTTATCATAAGGGTGCCATCATTTCAAAAGGACATAAAAATCCTAAATGTGCATACCTCTATGATACTGTTCTAAAATATATGATCAAAACCTGAGAGAACTGAAAGAACCAACAGCTAAATCAGAACAATTGTTAAACACTGTTGGTAATTGGGACAACATGTAGAAATCAAAATCATTAAGGATAATATACCTCAATAAAATATTTCTTCCAACAATTCTAGAGTACATATTATTTTAATGAATATTATAATAATTAGGAAAACTTAAAAATAAAAAAGATCAAATTAAGCAAATTTTATTTCATGCAAGCTGCTGAATTTATTGATAAAATTGTGTATATTATTACAATATTATTATTTTAGTGTTTATAGGATATATAGTGATGTCCCCTCTTTCATTTGTGATATTGATACTTTATTCCTTTTTTATTCATCTTCCTAGAATATGTCTACTTTATTGATCTTTACAAAGAACCATTGTTTGATTTTCTCTAAATTATTCCTGTTTTCTATTTCACTGATGGTACAAACTCAGGAATTATAAGAAAGGAATTCTTTCCAACCTATTTCATAAAGCTAGCCGTAGCCCAATACCAACACCAGACAACACTATTAAAAAACTCTTTGGATATGCTTATGAACATAGATGTAAAAGTTATTGACAAAAAGAAAATGAAGTAAAATTTACACAGACTGGAAAGGAAAAAGTAAAATTTTACTTGCAGAAGACATGATTAGCTACATAGAAAACCCCAATAAAGCTAGCAAAAAAGCACCTAGAATTATACTCTAGAAAGATTACAGAACAGAAGTGTAATGTATTAAAATGATGATTTTCTATTCTAGCAACAAGTAATTAGAGAATGAAATGGAACAAAGAATAGTACTTACCTTTGCATAGAATATGAAATAATAATAATAAATTTAACAATATATCTGCAAGGTTTGCATGCCCCCAAACTATAAATCATTGCTGAGGAAAATCGTAAAGACCTAAATAAATGCAAAATTAAGCCATGTTCATACACAGGAAGATCCTATATTCTTAAGAAGTCAATGTTTTTTTGTTTTGTTTTGTTTTTTGTTTTTCAAATTGATCTACACATTTAATGTAACATAAATGAAATTCTAGAAGGCTTTTTGGTCAAGAAATTGGGAAGCTGAATTGAAACTTTATTTGGAAATGTACCTAAACATATTGGAAATAAAGAATAAAGTTGAAGAGTATACAATATCTGATTTCATTCCTTGTTGGAGTAATCCAGACATAAGGATAGACATGCAGACAGTGAAACCAAACATCCAAAAATGCATGAACATATGTACAGTCAATTGATTAGAAAAACAGACTAAGGTAATTCAGTGGGAAAAAGGATAGTCTTTTCAATAAATGGTATTAAAAAAATTGGACAGCCACTAAAAAAGTGAGCTTTGACCATTATTTTATACCATATAAAAGTTACTATGCAAAATGAACCTAAATATAGGAGCTAAAAATTTAAAAATTAAGGAAACACAGGAGAGAAGTCTTTGGATTTTAAATTGGGAAAAGAGATATTTCTTAGAACATAAAACACATGAACCATAAAACAAAAAGGTAATAAACCAGCATTTATAAAAATGAAATGAATATTTTTATTGAAAAGAAAGGTATATTTTAGGAGAAATACAGTTATAAACCATATACGTTTTTTATCCATTCATCTATTGAAGGGCATCTAGGTTGGTTCCACAGTTTAGCTATTGTGTTGTGCTGCTATAAACATTGATATGGCTGTGTCCCTCTAGTATGCTGTTTTTAGATTCTTTAGGTATAGACTGAGGAGAGGGACAGTTGGGTCAAATGATGGCTCCATTCCCAATTTTCCAAGAAATCTCCATAATGCTTTCCATATTGGCTGCACCAATTTGCAGTCCCACCAGCAGTGTATGAGTGTACCTCTTTCCCCACATCCTCGACAACACTTATTGTTGTTTGTCTTCATAATAGCTGCCATTCTGACTGGAGTGAGATGAAATCTTAGAGTGGTTTTGATTTGCATTTCTCTAATTGCTAGTGATGATGAACATTTTTTTCATATATTTGTTGACTGATTGTATATTAGCTTTTTGAGTTCTTTATACCCCAGAAATTAGTGCTTTATCTGATGTGTAAAGAGTAAAAATTTTCTCCCAAGACGTAGGCTCTCTATTCACCTCACACATTGTTTCTTTTGCTGAGAAGAAACTTTTCAGTTTGAGTCAATCCCGTTTATTGATTCTTGATTTTAATTCTTCTGCCAAAGGAGTCTTATTAAGAAAGTTGGGGCCTAATCCCACATATATAATGGAATATTACTCAGCAATAGAAGAGAATAAAATCATGGCATTTGCAGGTAAATGGATGGAGTTAGAGAAGATAATGCTAAGTGAAGTTAGCCAATCCCACAAAACCAAATGCCAAATGTTTTCTTTGATATAAGGAGGCTGATTCATAGTGGGATAGGGAGAGGGAGCATGGAAGGAATAGATGAACTCAGGATAGGGCAGAGGGGTTGGAGGGGAAGGGAGAGAGCAGGGGGTTATAAATAATGGTGGAATGTGATGATCATTATTATCCAAAGTACATGTATGAAGACATGAATTGGTGTGAATATACTTTGTATACAATTAGAGATATGAAAAATTGTGCTCTATCTTTGTAATAAGAATTGAATGCATTCCACTGTCATCTATAAATAAAAAGAACATATATGTTAAGGAATTTATATCCTAAATATGTGAAGAATTCTTAAAGCTCATTATTTTAAAAAACACAAAATAAAAATGGGGAAAACATTTGTAAAAACTTCACAGAAGGAAATATATGAATGGCAAATAAATAAACAAAACAACTCCCAATGTCTTTGGACATTAAACAATGCAAAACATTCCTGAAAGACTGCTTATAGTTAAAAATGGTCAGAGTTTCAAATGTTAGCAAAGATGTGAAGCTTTCATATGAAAAGAAATGTAAACAAATGTCTAGAAATATGCTTTTGAGTTGTGCACTAATGTTCCCAGAAAAATTATTCCTAATAGCTCCAAACTGGAAATGAGTCGAATGCCAAGCAAATGGGAAATAAATAAACAAGTTATAACATACTACACTATGGGAATATTGTAAGGCATTTGAAAAGAATAAACTACTGATAGATTCAACACTATGGATGGACTGCAAAAGCATCACACTAAACAAAGAAAGACAAACCAAGCCCTGCTTCACCAAAGCAATAGCAAAAACAAAAGAATGATCTAGAGTATAATTCCATATGTATGAAACTGTGTAGAAATGGAAAAAGACAGTACTAGAAGCAACAGTGGTTGTACGGGGAATTATTGGGGAGTTAATTGCAAAGGGACAGAAGGGATGGTTACATGAGTGTAACTACTGGTCAAAGCTTATGACTTTAAATGCGTGAGTTATATTTTAATTAATATAACATGCTAATAATAACCTCAAACTCATCATCTTCCTGAATTTGCTCCTCTTCCTATGACCCCTTTAGTAGTAAATGGTACCTACTATCCTCTATTTTGTTCTGAAGCAAGACATGGGAGTCATTCTTAAGCCTTGTCTTTCATTTCTGTCAAGTCACTCAGTTCATATCAGCTTAAGATATGTCACTCCTGAATCCTCATGGAAGCTTGTTAACTGGATTCAGGCTTTTGGCATCTTCTATTAAAATTTTTCAACAGTCCTATAAATTCTTACCTTCTCCCCTCATGCTAGATACATTTCTCTGAAAAGGAGCCTGGTCATGGCATTTTCTATCATCAAGAAAATAAAAAAAATAATGAAGATTTTTTCCAATCTGAAGACTGTTAATATGACTTTCAAAATCCTTTACACTACTTCTTGACAGATAAATCTTGTCAATTTGGGGGCAATCCCTGCAGATTTTTGGCAAATTCTCTTCACTAGTTTTTAATTTCCTTATACCTTGCAGATATATTTCAGCTTCTAGCAAAAAAGTCATTGCTATTTCTTAGTTGTATTATAATTTTTTTGTCCTTCTCTCCCCCTATTTCTGTAGATACCATGGAAGCAGCTGCAGAAATGTGTACTTACTTCATAATCTTTCCTACAAATAAAACTGAAGATACTGACCAATATTTACAATACACTCTTTTGATAATTCTGTATTGTTTTATAATAGCATATTGGATTTTCAAGTGTCCAATTATAAAACCAAAATCTCTACAAAAATTATCTGATGAAAAAATTGATCCACTCACCTGACAACCAGTGACAATACTGTGGCCCCACGTATTTGGTGCACATTTAGAACATTTTTCTCCAATGGTGTTTGGAGGGCAAATGCATTGACCAGTTTTTGGGTCACAGTTATTACTCAGGTGGGAACAGTCACAAGCTTCATAGGAGAAAAGAGGGGAAATAGAGAAGAGTTTTAGAAAAAGGGAAAAATTTGATATAAAATATTTAGTTTTTTGTTGGATTGATTTGTTCCATTTTCCATTTTTTGGTACTGTTTAAGGTTCCTTGGAAATAAAAACTTACCTAATTCATCTTTTATATCATAGTATAGTGTATTTCACAGAGGAGTTGTTCAATCAATATATGTTGTATTTCATTTAATAATTTCAAAAGTTAAAGCATTTTTTTATTTCCTGTTCAGTTTGATAAAAGGAAGAACTGGTGTTACAGATTCCCTATTAACTAGAATGCCTTATATCCAGATAGCAAAAAGTTTAAAATTTTGTTTGTATATTTATTTTAGGTTTATTAATTTTTGTTACTATGCTGGAAAGATTTATTTTTCCTTTTTGATGATGACTCTGATTTACAATAAAACCAGGATTATAAATCCAGCACATCATGTGTATAATTGGCAAATATTAGAATATTTCAGTTTTGCAAATATTTAAAGACAGTTAAATTATGAACACTGTCTAGATATAAAGATACTTTGAACTTTTATTTGCCACTGTCCTTATGTCTTTTCAATAGATTTCATTTTCTTGACTATGAATGATACATGAAGAGTGTAAACCAGTTGCCTCTTCTGAAAAAATACAAATAAACAAATTGAAACCATCTTCAAAGCCATGTAAAACAAAGAAGGTATGTCACTTCTTATCTATAGTTGGCCCAGCTACTAAAAATATATTTTAATGTAGCACTTCATTTCAAAGAAATGAGAGAAGAAACACAAAATACTTGAATTCAAATAGGAGAATGATGCTTTGAAAAAACTTTGAGTTGCTTACATGATGATTAAATCATTTAACTGAATGCATTTAGGATATCTTATTAGGTTCACTGTCATTGTACATAGCATTTCATAGCAGCTGTGAAAAATATTTACCATGATACTTGACATTAAACACTAAATAAATATCAGTGATTACTATTTTTATTATTATTATTGTGACTAATTTTAAATCACAGGATTTATTTTCTATGTGCCATTCACTAAGAAGAAAAACATCATTTTGTTCAGATTTATGTGCTAAAAACATCTTGGGACAGTTTAAATTTCTACTTGCAAACAGAAATTCTCTAAGTAGATCTTCAATGGAATCATAACACTGAATAGGAAGCAGATCTAGGTGATTAGTTTTCTTCTCCTAAAGCATTATATTTACCCTAATTAATAATACTGACAAAGATCAAAGGTCATAATAATGATAAACACATAGTACTTTTATGTCCGTCATTACTCTAAATATTTTATAGCCATTAAATCAACTAATTCTCACCAAAACCCTAGGATGTACATACTATTATAATCCTAGTATAACAGATGAAATTTATGGAGGAAAAGCAAGGCTAAATCTTACAGTCAAGGTCACAAAACTAGTTACTGATGGAACCATGAGATAAATCCAGGCTGTTCAGTGCAAGTCATGCTCTCAATCATAATGTTATCCTGCCTGTTTGGTGCATTATTTTTTCTATTCTATGTCTCTGGCTTAAAATGCTACTAGGTCTGCATTCCTGAAATGCTATCACCATTTTGTAATATTAGAAAATATTCTTGGTTTCACTTATACCTTCTCTTACTAGATGTATTTGAATGTACAGTATTAGCATGTTAATTTCCATTAAGTAAAAATGTTAAGAGTAAACTGGATTCAAATAATAGAGTATATTTTAAAATGTAGCTTTATAATTTTTAGTATATGCCAATATTGGCCTACAGATAGATATGCACTCATAGATCTTCAATGATCACATTTCAAATAATTTATAATAAGCTTGGCTTATGATAAAAATCATGTATCTCAAGTGCTGAAGAATGTTTGAAAGATTTGGTTCTTTAAATAATTTTAAATATTATTCTCTCTGATTCCCACATAAGTCTGTGACAAGAGTCAACAATGTTTTCAAGTCTCACCACAGTGCTGAGAGTACAGTATGATAGTATCAATCAATGTTCAATCAATGAACTTCATAAGAAAAATTAAGATTCCACCTCATGACTGTTGAAATAGGGTCTATTCTAAATTAGTGGCACATGAATAGGAGTGAATATTCAATCTTTTCTTTCATCTGTAGTGTGCTAATTGATGTTTTCTTAGTTCATGATTTGTGTAAAGGCTGTGAATGGATATAGGAAAACTCTAAGGAATCATGGTTAGAAACTTGACTGCTTTTCCCCACAAACAAAACATTTAGAGTTATCCTGTTTCTTTCCCAGAACATCACAGTTTTCAAGGCAGCTAAAAGTAGATAAAAATATATTTTTTGTATGAGAAAAAAAAATTACCTTCCTTGATCCTTGTATCAATCTTGCATTAGGAGAAGGGAAACCTGAGAGATAACATTGACACTAGAAAACTTGAACATTTGACTTAAACAGCAGTGGTCATCAAGTAATGGTCAAACTGGGGTCACTGTTAGGGAGGGACATAGCAGATTTGGGATCTGCTGATGGATTTTCATTGAATAGTTTGCAAGCACAGTTATTTATAGGACACTATTCAAATGCCAATGTATTTTACTCACTAACAAATTTAAAATACGTTAATATTCAATATTTTGTCAATGATTATTTCCTTTTAAAAAATGAACAGTTATCAAAATCAGTCGCCCAAATGCAGAACTCCAGCCTTGTCTACAGACCTGTGCAGCCTCCTTCTTGGAAGTTGAAATAGCCCCGGGCACAACGGTCACATTTCTTCCCTGCAACACCAGGCTGGCACCAACACTGTCCATTCTCTTCACAGTCAAATGATTTAGACCCAAAAGAATTGCAGTTGCAGGGAACACACCCCTTGGCTGATTGTAGGCCAAATGTTTCAGGCTGACATAGAAAAGGAAAAAGGAAAATGAAATTTCAGTTGATTAACTCACAATGAAACAATATACACAATAGCAAGGGATCAGGCAGAAAAAAAGAGAACCTATAGGTTACTAGGGTTCCTCAATGATGTCATGATGACTGGACTGTCATTTAATTGAGTGGGTGCTTTCAATGATAACCAAAGGGCAAGTTCAGCTAATTTGAAGGACCATCAAAATAAATGGCAGAATTAGGCACTATCTTTTGCCTATTGTATTTCCATCAGCCTTGTCCTATACTTCTCAAGGTTTTAGAAGGAAGCAGTATGAAGTAAGCTGTGGGTTGTATTTCTAGTTTTAACTTAAAATGTTATTCACTTTATTCCTAATATTCTGAATTGATTACTTTCAGATCTTATGTACTTCTAATAAAAATGCTTTAAATATGATTGTCCAGAAGTTTAAATTTAAAATAGTATTTATCAAATAGTATGTGATCTACTTTTTTGTCATGGATCCATAAATACTTCTAGTCATCAAAACAGTATGCACATTATAAATGTAATTTATAGGTTATGCCTACAGTGACCAAATAATTGGTTTGGCAAACATCTAGTTTCTTGGATTTTATTCTAATAATTAAAACTGATGTGTGAGAACACATATTAAAGTGCTCTATTACAAAAGTAAAGAGAAATCTTTATTCTGTAATGACTTAGATGCCCATCACTCATCTGTGTCCACACTTGCTTCAGGCGACTTTCTTGAAATGCATGTTATCAGGCTTAGAGTGGCTGCATGGGAAAATGCTGATGGACTGAAAAGTCCCTTCTACGAGAAAAAAGAAAAGCATATATCCTACTTAAAGTGTGTCGCAGTTGTCTTTTTAAATACAAACTATGTCACATTATTATGATATTTCAATCTGGAAAATTAGTGTCAGTAATTACTTCTTTGTAAAAGTAATCCCTATTTTGGAAAATTAGACTTAATAATTACTTCTGGGTTAAAAAAACTAAATCTTGCCACTTAATGTGAGTCACCCAAAGAGAAATGAATAAGTCTCATTATATATTTTTCTATTATTAGCAGTATTAAAACTAAGTTCTAAAAAACAAATTCATACCAATGATTAGAATTTTAAAATGGCTAAGAATAGTTTTATTGTTTAAATGAGAAATGGGTTGATTGGGTTGATTGAGTTTAAAAATAATTTTATTCTTTATATTTACTGCTGGCTTCATTTTTATTTCTAGTTATAATTTAGAATTCATTATTTTAAAGAAGAAAGTAATCGTTTCAACAAATGACCCAATATTGAAATTAAATTCACCTATGTAAAGAAAAACTAAAACACAATATTTTTATTCATAAAATCAATGATTAAATGTAAGATTCTAAATACTTGACCTAGAGAAATTATCAGGTATTAGAACAATGATTAAAATGCAAGCATGCCTATTACAATATTTTTTATCATGGTGTATAACTGCAGAGGCACTTAAATGTTCTATGTTAGAGAAATAGCTGAATGAATTATAACATATTCATGCTATGTAATACTATTCAATAATTAAAATCTGTTTTGAAACAGTTTTAATGATATGAATATGCTTATGATATAGCATTAAGGAAAATTTCTAAAATGCAGCACTTGGAATTATACAGATTTTACGATTTCAATCACATACGACACACATCCCACCCAGAAACACACAAATAGAAACATACACATAAAAACATGTCTAGAACCTAACACATTAAAACAATTCTATAAAATATCTGAATTATAGAATACTTTCCATTTGTCTTTATTTACTGCATTTTCTTTACTGAAGCTGAATTGTGTATTCTCATTATTTCCTAAATTTTCTTCATTTAGCCTAGGCATACATATGTATGTACCTATGCATATATATGCACATACCTTTAATGGGTAAGTTGATCAAATATTGAATGAATTTATTAAATCATACCATCAAAAATTCCAAAGTTGATTATGCAAGGAAAGATACAGGAAGAAATGTAAACATACAGGAAGAAATACAAAATATTTTTCAAGTATTTAAATAATATTGTTTTAAAAACTAGTTTACACCAAAATAAAGCTACCATACTTCATTAATAAAATTTTAATAAATTGGGGATTCAAAAATTGATTTCAAAGCCTAAGGAAAACCTCCCTAATAAACAAATTAAAGGAGCAAACACTCCTGGTCAATAATTGAGATTAATGAAGTAACAAATACGGAGAAGGGTACTTGTCCACTCCCAGCAGCAAGCTGGCTGGGCTCCTTTACATGCTTCTCACTGAGGGAAATAACAAAAACTAGCTCTTATATATTATTTCCTATGTGCCAGGCACTAGTCTAAAATTCATATTTTACAAATATGAATTAGTTTACTCCACAGGGCAACCGTGGAGCAAACTGTCACAGCCATTACTTTCTTACAAAGTAGTAAAACCAAGGCCTGGAAAATTTAAGTAAATTGCCAAAGAAATTTCTTTGAAGCCTGGCTTTGGATTCTCATACATACTTCCTCAAGAACTAAGTAGTCTCAAGACAAAATAGTACTGTGAAGTATGTAGGAAAACAAATGAATGAGAGTTGATTTTCTGCTAAATTTTTATTTTAGAGGCATTTTGATCAGTTACTATCCCTGTCTTTTATTTTCAATTGATTCATTTTGTTTTTGAAGAAAAAAAAATGTTTTAAATATTTTTTCATTTAGTAACTACAGTAATACTAGTAATATTAATAATGCATGCACTAGACTACCTGACAGCTCCATGTTAGTATATTATGCGCTGTTCTCACTATTGCCTTCAAACAGCCTTGGAGGTGCCTCATCACATCTCCCTGCAAGCCATCTGCAGTGTGGAATGTTGATGCCTCATAACCTCCAGCTTCTAGTCTTTTGGATCCATCAAAGAGCTTAGCGATGGGCTGAAAGCTGATGTCCCCACCCCCAATTCCATATGTTGAAATCCTAACTTCACAGTGATGGTAATCTGAGGTGGGTTTTAAGGGAGGTAATTAGGTTATGAGGGTGGAGCCCTCATGAACGAGATCAGAAGCCTTATAAAAGAGACTCAAAGAAATCTCTTCACCATGAGAAGTTATTCTGTCTTCTTAGACAGCCATCTAGGGGAAGTGGGCTATCACCAGACAGATATCTGCTAACACCTTGATCTGAATCTTCTCCAGAACTCTGAGGAATGAATTTTTGTTGTTTATAAGCCACCCAGTCTAATGCCATTCTGATACAGCCTCCTGAATGGACTAAGCAAAGCTCAGTCTATGCTTTGTCAGGCTTTTCCAGTCAGTGGCTAATTACAGTAAGGCACCAGAACCTTCCTGCCAAATTTAGGATTCCACCAATGGGCAAACATTTCTTTGCCCTGATGGGCATTTCCCATTAGTCTGGTCAAAATTTGGGATTTTGGTAGGATGCACTGAATGAAGCCTTTCCTAACCAATCTTTCCTTTTCTCTTTGCCCAGGAGTCAGAGGGCCACGGTAGCAGAAGTCTCCGGGCATGCTCTGCTCTTCCCCTTTCATTCTTCATACATGTTTTCCCCCTAAAATCTTTTGGAATTTTCTTTTTGAAGGATATAAGACGACATAAACTTTAAGAAGTGGGTCTTACAGCAAATACACGAAGAAGCTAAATCACAGATAGATCAAGGAATTTAACAGCCATGAAGCCAAGAGGCTGGGATTGATCTGAGGCAGTCAGTCTGAGAACTCCTTTTCTTAAAATGTACTCTAATGAACCAAGAAATAAAATAATATTTTTTTCTTCCCCTTTACTGTTTATTTTGCACTCTCCTTTTAACCCCTACCCTCAACTCTCTACAGACCCCTGATCTAGAATGGCAAATCTTGTCCCTTGTTACTCAGCCACAAGGCTGTGAGAAGCGGTTTTCCCTCCTGCCCTCCATCTCTCCCTTATTATTTAGCATTTGTTTTGTTTGCCTAGTGAGAGGGGGAACAAATTGTAACTGAAAACAACTTTCTTTCCTAATTTTGTGTATATTGTGCTTTTATAGTGTATACAAATGTATTTCTTGTGTTTGATGCACACATGAACAAAATAATGATGAGAAAATTAGCAAAATCCTTAATTATGATAAGATATCAGACAAATGTTATATCAAACTCTGAATTTTCTTAGGCAAGTCACTTTCTTTGTTATATTTCTCATCTGTTTACTTCTAAAGTGAGTTTTTACCAAATCATACTTGAGGTTTCTACACATAAATTTTTATTTGATTTCTACCCAACCATGGCCAATTGACACTTTATTACACTTATGAACTTGAATATATTTTTAAAAGCATAAGGATGGTTATTTTTAAAAAGGCAAGGCTCCAATCAGAAATTGAAAAATGTTTGCATTTGCAATTCGCACACTTAGCAGCTGTTATTTGGTAAAATGCCACCAGGGAACTTCAGCTGAGGCACACGGAACACAACATGCCCCGGCACAAGCCATGCAGCGCCTCTGGGATTACCCGAGCTGGGGCCCGATAGGCTCCCCGAGGACACCCGCTGGAACTGCCGGACCCCCACCTCCTGGGAGACCCCAGCACGTGTTGCGCTCTCCGTGGCTGCTCCTCCTGACGATGCACCTGCCTGCCGAGGTTGCACTGTTTCCCTATAAAGCCTGATTTACAGATACATCTTCCTGTTGTATCACATTGGGGTGACACAGAGCCCATGGGATTGCAGTCACAGGGCACACAGACTTGCTTCTCTGGATCCCACCACATACTGGGCTTTAATTGCCAACAGAAAAATAAAATGAAGCAAAATAAGAACAACAAAAAAGCATATGGTATTATTCAAGAGACAGTAGCAGATTATATTTTCCAACTTCCTGCAGAAAGGTCAGTTTGACATCTGAGAAGTTTTGGCTTCTGTTTAATAGTCGTTATCACCAATAAAATGTATTTAAGTAAAAGAGGTAGTGCAAATCCTTCCACTCTCATGAATGAATCTCAAGGCACTCACCCGGCTGAAGGCAGGCAACTGATATGTTCAGGAATTGAGATTAACATATTGAAACTGAAAATTTCATTTTAGCACAATGATATCTGTAAACATTATATAAATTAGCTTTTCTTTTGAAACTTTTGCTAAGTAGAGTGCTCAATGGAGTTAGCTTTTAAATGAGAACTAGAAGAAGGTACTTGCTAAGCAAAAGGAGCAACACATTTTTTTTTTTCTGCCAAAAATGTAAAGAGTAGTTTAGTTTCTAAAAGATCAGGATTATATTCATGATGGCTATTTCAGAAACATTTGCATTATAGGAAATATACAAATTATCTGCCAAAGAAATGTAGTTTGCAGGTCAACTGCAACATACAACAAGTTTTTGCTGTATTTGAGCATATATTTTCCTGATCATAGTAATTTTATCTGTGGAATTAGATAATCCTGAACCATTTTGTGAATACATTAAGGTGTCTAAAACATGATATTGAAAGCCAAAGTTTTCAAGAAAGTAATTGATGAGCTCCTCCTTACCTTACATTCATCACACCGGTGTCCCTGCACATTGGGTCTGCAATCACACTGTCCTGTTCGAGGGTGGCAAATCTCTGAGAAGGAGCCATTGACATTACAACGACAGGCTGGAGAGAGAAAAGGCATCAATGGCTGGGGAAAAAAAATTCTAATACAGGTTGAATATGCTTTATCTGAAGTGCCAGGGACCAGAAATATTTCAGAGTTTGAAGTTTTCTAAATTTGGGAATATAGTTGCATAACTGGTTGAGCATCCCTAGTTGGAAAATCTGAAATCCAAAATGCTCCTAGTCTTAAAGTGTTTGTTAAATAAAAATATAGCCCAGGTGGTAACACTGACACCTAAATTCAGTAATAGAATATTTCTGACTTACTAAGTGCTCTCAAGAATTCTATCATTTTTATCCCTACAATAACTCTATCAGCTGTAGAGAGAATTTATATCAAGTCTTTGGCACAATTCTCGAGACATCATATGCTATTCAAACATTTATGTTGTCATTCAAGATATTCAAGGCCAGTTAGATATTGCTGGGTTCTGAACATTACTGAGACTTGCAGATCGCTGATTTCAGGTACAGTGCTGGGTCATTCCTTCATAGATACGTTGGGTAACATTTAAAATATTATAATCCCATTGTAAGTAATACATACTGACTCTAAGGCCAAAATAATTCTAAGAAATTACTAAAATTGACTGCATTCATGTCATAATATTAATGTCATCATTAATCAAGTAATACTGAATTAATTATTTCAAAATAATGATTATTTATTTTGTGTCAGTCTTTGTTTTAAGTTTAAAGAATGAGTTTGACATGATTATAAAAGTATATAAGATGAAAACATTGCTTCAAGTCTATTAGAAATAGAACATTGTAATTTTTAAAAATCACTTTAATATTCCAATTTTTTTGCAAATATAGAAAATATATTTGGTTTCAGTAATCTATTGTCATTTTTGTGTTATGAAGTTGTCTGATGTTATACTGAAACATATAATAAATCAGTCTAAAACCTAAGTGGTATTCACAAAAATAACTAATTAATGGCTCCCTGTGTACTCTACAAATGCATGTGTCATGATGCATATAATGGCGTTGATAACAGAATGAAATTGTGTGGGGGCAGATGGCATGGGAATTAAGACTATTCCATACGTGGCTTTGGTAAATTTGATACAATATCTGTTAAACATTACCTATTCACATGTTATAATGGCTGCTCTATTAGCCGATGCTATTATTATTCTCTTCACTTGGCTCCAGATTTCACTTTCCTTTACTGCTATTCTAAAAATTGCTTGATTTTTTTTTTTTTTCCGGAAAAGTTTAGTCTTCAGTATCTGCTAACTTGATTCTAGTATGTTGGACATTGGAAAACTGGCCTACCCAGCAACCAGTCAAATTAGCTGGTTAATTTTCCTCAGGCAATAGCTTAAGGAACAGTTAGTTCATAGATGGAGTTTTAAAAAGGGCTGGAGACAAATATTCTTTTTAAATATCCACATTCATTTGGATACCGATTTGTGGTGCATACTATCAATTTCTTTATGTAAATTTCTTAAGTGTATTATACATAAATTTAAAAAATCTTAAGTTATTTATAATATAGAAATCCTTTTTTAAAAAAGTAAGTACTACAAAATTAAATTTACATAAATATTCTGGTGATTAATGTCACCTTAAAAATAACAAAAACAATATAGAATTTTGTAAAAGGGGCATTTAATGGAAGAGTATAAAACAAACTAAATATATAAATTCAAAAAGCAAAATATACTTCTTGGTAGTGGTCAACTTTTCATGAACAAATCCAGAAGCAACTTAAATAATGCTTTCTCATGAGCTTTCTTTTCTTGAGGGTTTACTATCATGTGTAGAGGAACTACTGTATAAAAAAATTATAACATAGATAATAAATGGATCTTTACATTTTTAATCATAATTATATCCTGGAGGGCATTAAAAATTATAATCATATCTATACCTCATGGCAAGTAGTACAAAAATTGGAGATAGTTCAAATGTTGTTATTCCCACATTCTCCTCTGTTCTTAAAACTTTATGCCACAAATCATTAGTTTATCATGATAAAATGATTGGAATAATATCTTCATCTTTACATAGGGATTATTAGAAGACAGAGAAAGAAAGGCTGATAAATGGCTAAAGTAATCTAGAATTAGTGAACCACTGATATTCATGACTACTACTTGCACTACTACCAGACAACAGACCATGTGTGGGCATCTCCAGATCCCAAGGACTCCCTGGATGCTCTCTATGTGCTATGTCCTTTAATTTCTGTAGCAAACTTATTGGAGGTGATGAAACTAAGTCTTATTGAGATAAACAAAACAAAACAATAAAACACAATACCAAAAATAGTCCTACTAAATTTTCAAATTCTTCTTTCCTACAATGGATATGAGGTCATTTTAAAATAGAAACGTGTATCAGTTGAAAAAAACAAAAGGAATACCACTTCAACAATGCAGCAATTTTCAAAGGATTTTTGCTATTAGTACAAAGAAAGATAGATTCTGGAATATGCAGACTCTTGTCTATGCTGTGCATCTATCATCCATGTATTACAGATAATTTCCTAGTCTCCAATCCCCACTCAAGAACTCATCAGCTACTTTGAGGTATAATACATCAATTCTGTCAGGGGCATCAATAGTTCAGGACTTACGCTGACAGTTCTTTGCATCAACTGCGTCTCCAAAATATCCATCAGCACAGAGCTCACAGTACCGGCCTGTTGTACCTGGCTTACATATCAGACAGGAGCCAGACAAGCTGTCACAGCTGCCAGGGATGGAGAAGTCAAGGTTGTCATTGCATTGACATGGTTGACATGATCCTCCAGGTACAGAGGGTTGTCCAAAATAGCCTTCTGCACACCTAAGGTGAAAAATTGCATCCATAAGTATTTGGGGGAAACTCATGAAACACATCTTAGGACAATGTTTACATATTTTTCATGCTACTACTCTCCCAGGATGATGGCTTTTCCTTTTCAGTGTTCCTTGTCTCAAATGCAAGGTGATTAAAAAATGTTTTTCTATAACCATAGTGTAGATACAAGACGAAATCCTGCCAGACCCACTAGTAATTAGATTTCAGCCAGACAAAAACAAAACAAAACAAAATCTTGTCACTGGCACTGAAGATGAGACCAAAGCATAAGAAATCTGCTGCTGGCACTCTCAAAGAATCTAGGTCCATGTTGTAACGCCTTTGTAATAGAACACATTATGTATCTCTACACCAATTGGTTGTTTTTTTGTACAAATATGCAAGGTTCACATTTTGTTGTTGTTGTTCTTGCAGCAAGAGCTTGTTAGGAGGAAACAATTCATGAGAAATTTAGTAGCGAGAATACAGAATTTCTTAAATAAAAACTGTGACTCATGAGATTTTTATTTTTATTCGGGTGGAGTGTGTCTCTGAATTAATAATGGTTTTGTATGTAATTGAATGTAGATTTAGAGGTAGTTTATAAATGAAGAGTCTTTACTAAGGGGAAGTCTAAGTAGGTATTCTTGCCAATTATGGCAATATGACATAAGGTGATGCTCAACTGTGCCCATGACTCAAATTAGCAAAATCCAGGTATTTTGTTTTAATCAACCAAGAACTATTTTTACATATTAATTGTCATTAGTTACAAAGCATTACAGAGGACATTTTTTTAAAAAAACTATAGTATGAAAATTTCCCTGATCTAAATGCTGTCTTATAATGTCACATCACCTTACAGACACACAGATACATCCTTACAGGCAATGCCTATTTATCTTCGGCTCTGTCATCTCTTTCAGTTGCATTTTCCCACACTTCATATTAAGCCATACTTGACAAAGGAGAAATGAAACAGGGCATCCACAGTCTATGGGCAGGCCAGCTCTGCTACCTGTAGTATCTTATCAAAGTAGTCTTCTGCAGCAAGGGTCAGAATTGAAAATGAACAAAAAAATAGAGTGTTTTTACCTCCATAGTATGCTATGTTATGCTCATCTACTCAGATGTGAAAGCCATTGTTTAGAGCAAGGCTCTCTGCCATTAGGAATAGAAATGGTTTAAATTCATTATGTCATATTAAGGACATATTAATAACATGGCAATTATGGGACACAGTCGTTAATTTGGTACAGATACATTGATCAATGGTTATTCTAAGTTTTCCAGAAAATGTATGGGGACCATAATATTCTTATGGATTTAATATTTTATCATAATTTTAAAAAATGAGATTAATAGTTTTAATTATTTTTACAAAATGGTTAATATGATTATGAATGTTATATAAACATTTTAAAAGGCTACTGCTGCCCACAAATTCATATATTAATTCTCTATTACAAAATATGAAACAATATTTTAGTGCATAAAGTTCCCCCATAATCCCTTCAGGGGTATTCTTACCTTAGTTGATATTTAGAACTTATTTTTTTTTATTTTTATTTTTTATTTTTTTCTTTTTTTTTAAATTGGTTGTTCAAAACATTACAAAGCTCATGACATATCATCTTTCATACATTTGATTCAAGTGAGTTATGAACTCCCATTTTTACCCCAAATACAAATTTCAGAATCACATCAGTTACACATTCACATTTTTTACATAATGCCATATTAGTGACTGTTGTATTCTGCTGCCTTTCCTATCCCCTACTATCCCCCCTCCCCTCCCCTCCCATCTTCCCTCTCTACCTCATCTGTTGTTGTTCAATTCTCTCCCTTGTTCCCCCCCCCTTTCCCCTCACAACCTCTTATATGTGATTTCGTATAACGTTGAGGGTTTCCTTCTGTTTCCATGCAATTTCCCTTCTCTCTTCCTTTCCCTCCCACCACTCATCTCTGTTTAATGTTAATCTTTTCCTCACGCTCTTCCTCCCTGCTCAGTTCTTAGTTGCTCTCCTTAAATCAAAGAAGACATTTGGCATTTGTTTTTTAAGGATTGGCTAGATATTCAGAGCTTATGATCACATCTACATATATTCACATCTCATTTTGTTTACTGCTAAGAGAGTGACTTTGCTCCACTTAGAATAAGGAGGTACGGTGATTATTATCATAGTCAACAAAGACCTATTATTTTCAGTTCACTTTCCTCAAAATAACTTACTGCCCTCGGGAGAGATGGCATTATATAACAAGATCTGGGAATTTCTCTTAACACAGATACCAATTAATAAGTACAAAATTCTCCTATAATAAAAGAAACTCAGCCCATGGAAGAAAAAAAAAAACAACAAAACTGTGATTGAATAGAATAATGAAAGAAGCATCTGTCCTTTTCATTGCAGGACATGTAAGAAAAATTTGTGAATATACATATTAGAAAATTCATATGCTGCTTTATAGAAAGTGGGACCATTTTCTGCAGCACATTTGTGCTTTATTGCTGGTGTATGTGCATGTCCATTTTTATACATAGAATGGTCTTCAAAGAGACAAATGTTCCATTTGGAGTGAACAAACAATGCTAGGATCAGAAAATACAATGCTACTAATCATATTCTTTTATTACTAATAATATCACTTTATAATCTGTTATATGATTTATCTAATAAAAATTAGTTAAAAATCACAGTCCTTTGACCCTTTTCATTTTCACAGATTATCGCTCTCATAAAATTAATTGTAATTTGAAATCTTAAGCACTCTCACTTTCATAGGGAAGGCAGAATAAGGGCATTTTTAAAGAAGGCAGTTTATTGGATTCCTTGTTAAAGATGAGCACCTTGTCATAGCGTCACTGCTCCATTCCACATTTGTTCACTTTTTCAAATCAAATTGAACTATTTAAAACAGATACCCTTTAAATGCAAATAAGATTCCAGAAAACACATGCAGTTATATAATAAGAGTTGCTGCTATTGATAATTTAGGAAGAATATTAGAGAGAGGAAAGGTTGGGGGGAGAGGGAGAGAGAATGAATGACAGAAGAGTAGAGGAACAATAACAAGAAAAGAAAGCAACAAGATGGAGGAGATGTTTTAAATCTCGTTGTGTTCCATCATTTTCTCCAACAACTTTGGGTTAAAATCTGAGGCCTATGGTCATACTATCTCTTCCGCAAAAAAAAAAAAAAAAAAAAAAAAAAAGAAAGCCACTGAGTATTTTTACATGATGCATATAAATAACATTCAGTCTTTAGTCCACAGAAAATAAATATTCTTTAAACAATCTGACAACAGAACAACCAGAGTTATGTAAGTACTATCAGCAAAGCATAGAAAAGGTACAACCTACTTGGATTAGGATTTAACAAAGGCCTGTTCAGAATGACAGAGCAGAATTTTAAGAGATGACCAGGGTTAGCCTCAGGCAGAGCAATGGGAGGACTACAGTGTTCTAGAGAGGAGGGACAACATTGACAAAGGTACAGAAAAAAGTGGCTGGAGTATAAAGGTGTGTGGCTGTACTGCAAGACTGTGTTCTTACTACCTTGCACCTGCCAGTCAGCTAAAGACTGAGGGAATTTGCCTGCATATTCAAGGCCTTTCTGCAAATTACAAAAAGTGTAGAGAGAGTGGGTCCACACTTCTGCAGCTGAGCACAGCAAGAAGCTCTTCTTGCACTCAAGCCCTCATACTGGCTTCAAGCTCCCATTTGCCACTTCCCGGTCTTTCTTTGGGCAGTGTGCAAACTGCTCAATCTCGCATGAGCAGCCTCTTTGAAACATCAGCTGAAGCCACAGTTTTGTTTATGGCACTATTAAGAAAGAATAAGCTTCTCTCTTCTGTTGTTTCTATTTAATGTCATCTTTGGCAGCGAGAACCCAACACTTAAGGAGATTCAGACACAAGTAGAAAAATGTTATCAGCATCATGATCAGAGGGAAACTGGACTTGATCCAGACATTTCTGAAGTAGAGAAGACCTAACTGGGATTTTGGAGTTATAGCTAAATAACAAAATGGAACTTGATATCTAATATGAATCACATGGATAAAATTACAGGTGAATTTTTAAAATATTAGGCAACCCGAGTCAAATGTCTTCTGCATTCTCAGAGGTAACTACAAAAGCAGTCTTGATTTTTGGCCTCTGTCCTCACCTAGGGAGGATCTGCTAAGAAATTATACTGGGGAGGAGGCAGGGGTTATCCCATTAAGGGTTAAATATCCCATTAAGTACCAGGTTGTCCCATAGAATCTGCCAAGTGAACTTGCCACAGTCTTGGAACTGTCTTTCTCCATGATGCATTCTAAATTGCTAGGGCTACAGACTTATTCTGAAAGTACCCCAATGTCTGGTAGGTCTGGTGTCATCTGTGATTAACTCAGCTTTTGTTTTATGTTTTTAAAAATTTCTCTTGATGCTCTAAGGCTAATTTCTAGATGCTGTCTCTGATTTTCTGGAGTTTTAGTCTTCCATTGTCCAGATGAAAGAAGCTGTGAATCTTAGCAAAGTGTCATAATGAATACCTTCTCCCCTAACTCCCTCTCTTCTTTCTCTCGTTAAACTAGTTCCCAGCAAAATAGTAACTCCTCAAGGTGCCTTGGCCCCAAGCAAATGTTTCATGCTTCCAAGCTGTGACTAGTGTCCTACATGTGAAACAATCATCAGTCAACATTTTGCTAAATCTACCTTTGCCATTCTCTTGTTCATGGTTTCTTTTCTTTCCCTCAATTCAAGAAGCAAGAGCATGGTGCGCGATGCATCTAAATGAAAGGATTTGATAGGGAAGAAAGCAGAAACACAGAGAACTCCTAGACCTTGGACTCAAAAAGTTGGAATTTCTATGAACGTGGAACCTATACACCTTCCCCCCAAATAAGATGGAGATGAAAAGGTGGATGAAGAAGTGATGATAGTAGTAATGGTGGTGTATCCCAGTGTGGAATGAAAGAAGCTGAATGATTTCTGTCTCCCAAAGAATGGGATAAAAGTGAAGAGAGTTGAATGACCTGAGAGGAAAGGTGATTCAGAGGACAGAAAAGGCAAAGGTTGGCAGAGACACATGGAGAGAATTAGGACAGGATGACCCCACAGCATGTCCCTTTGCCCAACACAGATATACCCACACTCACTCACCTACTTACCACTCATGCACACCAGCCCCTTGGTACTTTGTCAACTTATTAGAACTTTGATTCAAGCTTGGTTGAGATCATGTGAGATCACATTTCTAAGTTCTCACAGTTCTCACATATATGGATGAGGTCTCAAAATAGAAACTGAATTGAAATAAACAATATCAGCTGATAATTCTCATCCACCAGAGCTGTAGTCTGAGACACATTCATGCTATATAATAAAAGCAGAAAATTTTGGAAAGACTGAGCTAAACTAAGTAAGTGATCAGATTTCTCTACTTCCCACCACAGGATATAGCACAAATTTTAACATGCTAATGGATACTTCCCAAACTTTTGTGATCACAGCATTCTTTATTCTAGGAACAACTACAGTTTGGGAAACCCTGTTTTATTTCAAATGCTGATTTTTTTATGTAGCCAATATGCATACAGTAATCATACACATCACTTACAGAATGGCTTTGATTACACAATTTTAATGCAACCAGTGACTCCTCTTTACTCTGACCTTTCTTTTCCCTCCTTTGCACTTCAACATACACAATTACAAAATTATTCCTCTCATAATTTTGACCTATCAAATAGGCTTTTGGCTCACATACATATACTGAAATGGTATACCCTAAATATTTCTGGAAAATGCTAATTCAAATTCTGCCTAGAAAAAGCAAATATCTCATCATCTGTATAAAAACAGTTGAATATTATTTTTAGTTAAAAAACTTTGGTTGGAACTGAACTATATACCATTTGCTACACCGCATATGCATCTTGTAATCTTCCATTGAATCAGATTAATATAGATTTTAGGCAGAAAATTATGCTCTCTGTCAGTTACTTCTTTCCTGGGTGAATTTCATTATTCAGTTAGGTTTCTCTCCAGAATGCATGTGACCATTCTCATATGCATTAAAGAAAGATATGAGCTGCTTGAGGGCAAGGATGGCATAATGCATCTGTTTACCTCTGACATCCAGCCCTGTGCTTAGTAAATGGCAGCTACTAAGCAGATATACGTAAAATTAAAGGTAGCATTTAAATTGTAGATGATTCGGAAACTATGATCTAACATGTATAGAAAGGATAGTGTACGAAGCAAAGCAATATAAATACATCAGAGATTATGCTCACCTAGGTAAGCGAATTTAATGGCCTTGTATGAAAGAGCAGCTGTTGCTTTCTAGATGCTAAAAAAGGTTGCCTGTAGTGAGATGTGGGGGAGGCGGTGGGTGGTTAGGCTTTTGATGTAGATCTGTCTTGGCAATGATTGCTCTCCTATTATAATAAGTAATATACACATAGCTTCCTTTAAAGAAAAACACAATTAAAGAACTCCAGTTTCTCAATTACAAATATATCCTCCTTATTTCAGTTCTCTTCTTCCATTACTAATTTACAGATGCTGCCATTCTTACAAATAGTACTTATTGCTCCTGGAAACTGTCACTGGTACTTTGTCCACAGATTGCTAGTTGCTAACTAAATTCTCTCTGGGTGACTGGCTCCCGCTTCAATAACTTAATGCACCCTGGTTGGAATAGGACTGATGGCTGCCAAGGAGGCAGGAGAGGACAGGCCAAAATGGCCCTCTTTGGGGTTAGCTTTGGTGACAAAGATTGAAAGTAGGTCACATCCATTATGACCCTTTTTCCCCAATCCCTATGGCCTACTGATGAACTAGGCTGTTTGGATCTGTTTTCATTGCTAACACCAGAGAGAATTTGTTCTATTTGGCAATAATATCAAGGGGGAAGTTTGTATCATTTTTATACCGCAACTGGAATAAAGAAAAGTCTCTTCAAATCATTTTGGGAAGGCTGAATGTTTTCTCTGATAAGTGGATGCTAATTCAAAATGGGGCTGGGGTGGGGTAGTAAAGAATGAAAGAACATTGGATTGTGCAAAGGGGAGTGAGGAGTGGGGATGGGGAAGAGAGGGACAGTAGAATGAGACAGACATTATTACTCTATATACATGCATGATTACACTATTGGTGTGACTTTGCACCATGTAAAGCCAGAGGAAGAAGTTGTGCTCCATTGGTGTATGATGTGTCAAAATGCATTCCACTGTTATGTATAATTAATTAGAACAAATTAAAAAATAAAATAAATAAATAAATCCAAAAAAAATAATTTGGGAGAAAATATGATTATACAGATTATGTATAGTAACATCCATAGTTCCATTGCAAAGCAACCCAACAAAGTCAATAGGAATTAAAATACTGGTATAGGACTATTTAGAAAGAATGTAAAAACATGATGATAAATTACATTTTGTTTCTATTTTCAAATATGTTTAAAGTAAATTATGGACCACTTACTGAACTATGGACTATGAATTTAAGCCACATTTTAAGGACAAAAAGCTAATTATGAAAAACAATGGGTGCTGATGGTAGACAGTAAGATAAATCTTAAAGTGCATGGCTTTCCACTTGAACAACACTTTCTAGAAAGATTGCAGGTTGATGCTTAACCTTTAAGATTAAAACATTAATCGGATACTTTCTAAGTGAATAGATATTAGTAGAGCAATTTCTAGAGAATAAATAAACTATAAAGAAATAATGCATTTGTTTGACAAGTATGACAGGAAACTTTATTCCACCTCATCAAGTATGGCAGCTTTTCTGGGGTAGAGCGAAGGATGATGATGCCTATGGCTTTGTAATTCCCAAGGTAGAAGTCATTCTGCAAGATGGGATGGTACGTGCTTACCTTTCACAGCGTGGTCCTGTGTATCCAACAGGACATGCATCACAGATCAGGCCAAGACTCTGGTCTAAATGGCACGTCGGGCTAAAGCTATGTGATGTTGTTTTGGGGAACAACAGAGACAAGAAAGAAGCAATATACAAAATCATTAGTAGCATATTTTCATTTCTCTTTCTCTACTACTGCTGTGAAAAAAAGGCCAAAAGCTGGTCATTCCTGTCTCACAGACAGAACTCAGGATCTGGCCAATTGAGGACGAAATGACATTGCTCTATGTGCAGACATGACTACAGCCCAGTGGAGAAGCAGTATCCCTGTGACATGTTATTAACTAACTTTTGACTGCTCTGAATCTGTGATTGCCAATAATAAGAGGGAGTGAACAGCTGCTTTGAAGGATTCCCTGGGCCTAGAAACACATGGCTTCACATCCTTTCTCTCCAGCCAAGTCCCTTGGAATCTGAAGCAGCACTGAGAAACCTTAGGGATTTTTGGAAAACTCAGCACACAGGAGAGGTGGCAGTAGGGGTTCCTACCTGCAGGGCTGCTGCCTGGGGTGTATGTGCTAATTGTTGTAATGTATACTCACAGGTATACAGTCACACTGATGGCATCCTCAAGAATGTTTCCAGAAGCAATTAAGTGTGTGTACTATACTTCAACTTACAATAAGACAAAACAAACAACAGCAACCTTGCCATTTTATACCTTTTGGCATGTTTCAAAATTTCTCTCTCTTTGAACATACTTACAATTTTGGTCTGAAATAACAGAGTTGGACACCATGTCAAGAACCAGCACAGCGATCTCATGTGAGCATTAGCCTTCAAAGAAACATGTTCAGCTTGGCTTACATTTTTTTTTTTTTTCTTGGCAAGAGATACCTCACCTGCATTCACGCTTACCCCAACATGGACAGTATCCTGTAGATATCTGCTGCTCTCAGAAGAGCCCTCTCATTAATTATGCTGCTCTACCATTTAAAAAATTATTACTGAACTGGTACACAGAAACTGTACACAGTAATGGATAGCATGTGATGTTTTTTTGTAATGGGGTGTAATGTTCAAATCAGATGAATCATGTTAATCTCCTTAAACATCATTTTTTCACAGTGAAGACTTTCAAAGTCCTTTCTCCTAGGTTTTTGGAATGTGCATTACACTGTTGTTATCTATAGTCTAGAACCAGAATTTGTTGCTCCTGTCTAGCTGTAACTCATATCTGCCCCACTACTTGCCCAGCCTCTGGTAACCACCATTCCATCTTCAACTTTTCTGTGATCAATCAAGTTCTTCAGATTTCATACTGTTCTACTGTTTTAAAGGGAAATGCCCTCAATTAATCTTTCTTCCATTATGTTTTATTTAAATAGGTTTATTTTCTATTGTATATGACATGACAATTCAGTAGAGGCTTGCTCGATTGCTTGATGCTAAGTGAACTAAAGTGAGAACAACAAATTAAACACTGCAAGTCCTGATCTCATTTGGCTTTGCATGGCTTTCTTAAATTTGATGGATAGAAGATCATGGGTACTGTTTTTAAGTAATATGACTCTGACTTAACTCATTATATTCCTGTAAAGATGAAATAATTCTTTTTTTTTTTTTTTTTTGAAGTACCAACCTACTGGCATCAATTTAGACATTTCACTCTGTGGAAAGTCCAAATGAATCTACTGGGTCAAAGGGGGAAAGCCTGAAAAGGGGAACATGAGTTTATATATAAATATTATCCAAAAAAAAATTTCATATTAAGGGGTTCTGGTGGCTACCATGGGCAACCAATCTGTTCTGTGAGAAGGTATCTCCTTTTAAACTGGGGCCTGCGTCTTGCCACACTTTACCCCCAAAGGGAACACCCACACGATCTTAGCGGGAATGCATTTATACTGAAGAGGCACATGTCACTTGTTTATACCAAGGAGAAGCACATATGAAAGAAGAATGAAACAGGATTTTCCCCATCTTTACACAGTGATTTGTTTTTGTTTGAAGATATGAAAAAAAATGAACTGGAATTTTAAAAATCTCTGTAGTGCATATATTCTTTGAAAACTGGAATTCTTTAATTATCTTATCATGTATGGAGAAAGGGACTCTTAAAAAAGCCCTGAGTTTGCCAATCCCATGGGACTACAGTGACTGAAAGAAAAACTGTACCAATTATTTTTTAAAAATCCTAAATCAGTTTACCGTGAGACATGTCAAAGGTGGTTGACAAGGTTTCTGACACTTTAAAACTATTTATAAAATAGATTTCAAATTCTTAAAATACTCACATGTCAGTTAAAGCCAACAGAAGGAAAGTAAAATGTACTCACTGACAAAAATCAATATTTTCTCAGGAAAAAAAATAAGCAATAACAATATATTAGATTTGACTTGCTCTTATAGTTCAGAGTCCTTTTACAAATAATTTTATCACATTTTCACAGAATCCTATGAGCTGTTTGGGGCAGGCATAATTTTTCTCTCCAAGGTCATACTCTAATTTCTAGAAGAACTGAGCATGGGATCCAGGACTTCAGAATTTTAATTTGATATTCTCTTCTCCATGTAACAAAATGTCATTCAAACCTGCTGGTGAGAATTAAGTCATTTTAAGGTTTTAGTAATATAAATACTTTACATGATGCATGCAAATCAAATCCCCTCTTAAAATATACTCATGCTTTGAAATTCTTTAACAACATAAACTGAGGAGTCACTCCCTTACTGCTGTAATTTCAGTTACAGGAATGAAGATGGCATTAAACAACAACATTAAAATTAGAATGAGAAGTACACATGCACAACGAAAAATGCCTCCAGAATTTGATTGGCAAATATAGTGATGTGACACTGATTTTGGTCAAAACATGAAGATAATTGTTCCATGACACAAAGAGGGAACTGTGGGATCATCATTGACTTATATCGATTCCAAGATTATGTCACTTAACACTAGTTGGCTAGCTGCACACCAGCAGAGAGAATGTTCTGCTTCCTGGATTTACCAGCCCATGGCACCGAAGACACAGAAGAGCCAAGAGCTGCAGGCACAGCTTCAACAAATGGGGAGGAAGGGCAGCTACTCTTGGAATAAACTGTAAGGATATACACATGGATCTTTTAATAATAAACATAGATTTTCATGTGTTTCATAATGATCCATTTATAAAGATGTATATATGTGCATACATGCATATATGTTTATATATGAGTACGTATATATGTTTATGTTTGTGAATGCAAACATAAAGATACAATTAGTCTTATTCCAAAAGAATTTAAATTACCTATTGTCTTGGAATGTACTTCTCAATTATAAGTACTAAATTTAACAACAATAATTCAATATGTCCTTTTGAAAGAGCCCAAAAGTCAGCTTTAGAAATATTCCATATGTAATTGAAGCACTCCTGAGGAACATAAATTAGCAGATTCCACAGTAGATAGAATTTGTTGAGGGGCTATTTTCTGTCCAGGCTTGTATCAAGAATATCTCTAATTTTATAGCACAATTTATGAAAATCAGTATTGGCTTAAATAATTATATCTATTAAAATGCATGCTAAGTATTCAATAGCAAATGTTCATATTTAATCTATGTGATACTGAAAATTAATGAATATAAAATATTGAAATTTTACTTTTATTTGCTTCTCTGGAGGTAAATTTCACTGGCTAGTTACATCTATAGTTAGAATATAAACATCACCAAGGTGAAAAGGCCAAACACACAGTGGACACTGTAAATAGTTGATGAAGTTGATGTATATGTATGATTTAAATATTATATGCTTGTCTGTATTCATACATCATAATAATTATGCTAATCTATCTCTATCTTCCAACACATTTGATTTATTTAGCAATATTATCTAAGAAGTTTGGAGCCAAAATGCTTGTGATCTATAAGATTTATGACCAGGGATTAAATAGATAAATCACCAAGTTAAAACTATCACTAAGCCTCACACTTCGGAAGAAGGTTGCAGCAACCTTTAGTGCTCACTCTCTCTTTTTCTATGTAACTGTAAAAATTCAAATCCCATCTTCTGGATTATATACAACTCTTCAATTTATACTTCAGAGTTCCTAACTTAGATTATAACAGTAATTTACAAAGATCTTTTTTTTTCAAAACAATAGTTCCCTATTTCTTTAAGTGCCCTTGTTTTTTAGTAATTTTTCAAGAAAATATTTTAGGTTATTATTTAAAATGGATTTCTTCCATCACAATTGTGTAGCTAAACTATGATAATTTTCTACAATGTTTTAAATTTAAAAGACTGTATATCTCTAACTACAAAAGTTCTAGAATTTATAAACTAAGTCTGTCTTTCCTTTTTCTACTTTTAATTAAACAATTTAAATCCAGAACTAAAATAAGTTACTACTCTAGTCCCAATGATATTACTAAAATAAATCTTTAAAAATAATTTAATAATTATTTACTACAAATAAAATAATCTTAAAATTGAATGATCTCTAAATATTTGATGTTACCAATATTGTTATTTATGTTACTATGTTATTGTTGTTATTATTATTACATGATTTTTAAAAATTAACATCAACAAAGTAAACCAACTTGCAAAACATATGTTTTAGGAAATATCATTCAACTCTGGGACCCAAATCCCTTTGGTACAGGTGGATGGTACTTTAATTTTGGTTGAGCTATTTTTTGTTCAGGACAACACATTTAGAGACCTCAAACTAGAAACACAGCAAAGATAGAGGCAAGGACTGGCCTACACTTGCCTACACTTGCCCAAGCAAAATTCCTTCCCTAATGACTTCTCTTTATTTATAGCAATGTTGGCCAGATTTGAGGGGAAATTCATAAGGTCTCTATGTATTACACTAGGATTCACATGGTTCAATGAATGAACAGCTCTGCCGGGTTGATAGCTATGTTAATAACAATAATGTTTTGGTTGATAAGAAGATATATTGCAAGGGCATCTCGAGGTGCAATCTGTCTGCCTTCCTCAACGAAGGTCAGTGCTGAACAGTGAGGTTTATGAGCATGGGGTGGGCTGGAGAATGCCATTTAGCCCTGGTAAAAGAGGAGGTCATGCACTATGTAAGCTAATCCTTCATGTGTACAACACATAGCCAATTTGGTGTCACATTATATACAAGGTAGGGAGCAGTAGCCATTAGTTATGAAGGACTTCATTTGTATTTCCTTATATTCCCTATTTTCTAGTATTTTTTCTCCTCTTCTCTCATACCTTTGGTGGGCAAATGTTCTTAAGTTGTATGTCCTTCCAAGCTCATTCCCTATGTTCTGGAAATTTTTTATGCTCTGATCCCTAATATAGGTTAAATCAACTTCTCATTTTTTTTCAGGGTCTTACTAGGGAACTTAACATACCTGGTGGATTGATTAATTGTTTTATGTTTTATGTTAACCTGCAGTATTTTAACTTATTTTAAAAGAAGTCCTGCAGACTGCAGAGGACTGGAACATACACAAGAAATTAAAGTTAAAACTGTTTTCTGACACTGATGCTTTATGACTCTAAGCAACTTACTTAACAATCAACCCAAAGTTCACCATTTCCACTCACTGTTTTACGTACTTGACATGTTTTAATGGTGTGATTCTTACTACCCCCATGAGAGGGTTCAGTTATCACAACTAATGTTGAATGAACTAAGATAGTTTAAGAAGGTTGCCCAAAGCTGTACCAGTGGAAAGTACGGATCCACCATTTAAACTAAGGGAGTTTTGACTTTAAAGTTGATATTATAACACCCTTTCTACTCATAAACTTCACTTATTAGTCTATCTACCAAATTGGGTTATTTCTGAAGGTGAAATAACCAAATACAGTGCATGACCCTATGCCTAGAATATAGTAGGCTGTTTTCATTCAATGTTAGTTCTTTTCCAAACAATGAGTAAGGTGGAACATTGGAAGAGAAGCATAGTTGGAGAGGAGGATAAGAATTCCATGTGAGCTGAATACAAGAAAGCACAGTTCTCAGGAGGACTTTAATCTTGAAAACAGAATTATTTTCATTTTTTAGCTTGTTGCATTCATTAGATCTAATAACAATATAGCATCTTAATTAGGAACATCTTGGGTAAGACCTAAGAGTATGACCTCCTTGATCAAAACTTCACATTTAAAAATCATAGCTGACAGATTTCACTTAAAAATTATTTGAAATTTCTTCCCTACAAGTTTTATCTCTGCTTGTAGAAACAGATGGAAAGTGTATCACATGATAAGAACTTCACTAAGTACTAAGATTACTCTTAAAAGTTCTCAAAAGAAAATTCCTTTCATTTAAAATTATAGTTAGGGCTGGTGGTATAGCTCAGTGACAGATTACAAGATCTTGGATCTAAACCTTAGCACCAAAATAATAAAATAAGTAAAATTATAGTTATTTGCAATTATTTACCTGTAAGAACCATTTGCCTTCTTGATTCCTAATATAGGAATGTTCAGAGGTGAGGTTTTTAGGAAATGGTTAGACCACGAGGGCTCTACCCTCATCAATGGGTTAAGCCATTGAAGGATTCATAATTTGAATGAACAATTGGGAAATGATGGAAACTATAGGAAGTAGGACCTCGTTGAAGGAAGTCTGTTCTTGGGAGAATGCTTTAGGAAATTATATCTTGTCACTGGCCCCTTCCTCTCTCTCTTTCTCTTTTCCTTTCTGTCTGCCTCCCAATGAGAAGCTTTCCTGAGCCACGCCCTTACACCATATTTCTTTCTCACCTAGGTCTAAAAACAATTCAACCATCTGATCATGCACTAAAAACTCTGACACTGTGAGCAAAAATAAATTTTTTCTTCTTTATTTATCTCAGATATTTTGTCACAGTGATGAAAATTTGACTAACACAGCCACATTTTGTAGTAATATCAATTTTTGAACCTGGTATAGAGCATTCTCATGAAAAGTAAGGGAAGGAGCAAAGAAAATTTTATTAATTTATTTAATCCTTTCTTATTTCCTTCCTTCCTTTTCTAAAATATTTTCTAATATATTATTGTTCTAGGTGAATAACTGGAAAAATGGATATAAATTATATGAAGTTTGTATTAAAACTTTTAAGATCTACATTGTTTATGATAGATAATGTAGCAATTAATACCCATAGTTTATTAGTCATAAATTTATGATAAAATGTGTACTGTTAAACCAATTTTAATAAGATGGACATGTATGTATAAATAAACATATTTATCTGTAAATATTGTGTATGAGATAAACTATGGGATAATTCAGGGATAGTATGTGTACTTGAAGATCAGCTGGTTTGATAGCAATGGCATGGAGTTTCAGAGCTTGAAAACTTTAAGTAATCAACTTCAGCTTCCGTTTGTCTTTAAATTTTTATTTATATGCAGTGCTGAGAATTGAACGCAGTGCTTCAACAACTTTCTACCAATTGTTATTTTTAGAGCCATATTTTTTCAAAAATAAGAATAAAAATAATAACTTATTTCTTATTTTATCTTATTAAAATATATTCCTAATCTCAGGCTGTGTTCATAAAACTCATCAAGACTAGCTTAAAGTTTCAACTAATCAAATCCCTTCATTTTAGCTTTTGAGAAGTTTGTGACTTGCCCAAGCATACTTTCACATACACACACAAAATCTAGACTAGGATTTAAATGAGCAGCATTTAATGTCACTGATCTTTTGGTGTGTAGGCATATATGTCTACACATACACATGTATGTGTTTATTTAAATTATGTTCTTTGGAACTAGGATAGAAGTGCTATTTGAGTTCTATCTCTTAATTACTAAATCATCAAATCTAGGGCAAAATACTAAAAACCTTTAGAAATAAATGGTCATAATTTTAAATATTTTACATTAAAAACTCATATTGCCTTCCTGAAAAATTCATGCATGTATTTATTATTTATGTGCATGCAACAAGAGAAAGTTTACATTTGATATCAAAGATACACTTATAGAACTGGAAACCAAACTCCTTGGTAAGGAAAGTTTGTTACTCACTTATTGGATGGAATATTGAGTGGACAAGCACAGGGCTTGCAATCTTCAGAAGTTCCTTGAGTAGGATCACCATAGAAACCAGGAAGACATATATTGCAGTAGGGGCCACCTGTATGATCCATACAGTTCTGAGGAAGAAGAGCATATCAGAGTTTATATTTTGGTCTCAAACAGCACCATGTTGCTGAAAATAGGTCTATAAAATCATTAGTCTGTTCCCCACCAGGAAGATAAATTTTTCCACATTAAACAGTCAATTTTTTAGCAGGGAAATAACATTGGAAGTTAATATCTAGTTCATCAACTACATACTAGGCTCAACACATGCATAATTTAAAAGATAACTGAAATCCTTTATAAATTATTTTCATTATGCAAATTTTATTTCATCTTTATTTTTTTTCTTAAGAAAATGTATTTGATAGTGTGTGTATGTATATGTAGTCAGACAGCCCTAATGACATAAGTTTAATGGAAATTGTAGCTGATTCTAAGTAAAAATCAATTGTAGCTTAAAACTGCTGATTTAATGAGAACTATGGCTAATCATACAAATCCCCCAAGACTGTGCCCTCTTAGCTCAGGCATTAATTTTAAACTTAGCAGACTCTGATGTTTGCACAATGCTTTCTTATATTATATCTGTGAGGAGCTTGTTTGATTCATAATTGAACATTGAGAAAATGGGGAAAAAATCTTAAATATATGATGAAATCACAGAGCACATAAAAATTTTCCTCAGATACTTTCAAAACCAAGTAGAAACTATATCTTTCTACCAATTATTATTTTTAGAGCAATCTCTTTTTCAAAAATCAAAATCAAAATAAATAATTTATTTCTTGATTTTATCATATTAATTAAAATATATTCCTAATCTCAGGCTGTGTTCATAAAACTCATCAAGACTGGTGTAAAGATCCAGCTGATCAAGCAGTAGAACTGTCTCCAATAGCACAATTTGATAAATATTTATTGTATCATGTAGATATAGGTCTTATTTCCAGTGATACAATGATGTTATATAATTCCTTCTAAAATCATATAGCATGGATTCATTAGTACTGAAGTTTATTTTAAGTCTAATAAGCACATATACTTATAATTTTTCTACATGTTTACAAGGGTTCATAAGAACTCAAAGATGTGCAGCTTTTATTTTTATCACCAACACCCAAATTTATGAAGGAAATGGGAAGAATATAAATTAATCTTGAGCACAGTAAAAGTTTATATGTTTTTATGACTGTTGGAACAGTCAGATCAGGTTAATGAAAATTCCACATTTTATTCATTTCCATATGTTTAGAAATAAGATGAGTGTCAGTTTTGTTTAGTATATAGATTTAACAAAAACAACCCAATAAATGAAGATATATTTTGAACATTGCTTATTATAGTTTCTTGGGGGATACCAGATTTGTTTATTGAATGAAAAAAATCTAAATCATAATCCATTCATTTAACTTTGAACCTCCTATTTACATTCTCTGAAATAAAGAAGTAAAGTTGGACTGGGGTTGTGGCTCAGTGGTAGAACGCTCGCATAGCATGTGTGAGGCACTGGGTTCAATTCTCAGCACTGCATATAAATAAATAAAAATTAAAAGAAAACGGAAGCTAAAGTTCATTACTTAAAGTTTTCAAGCTCTGAATACTCCATGTCATTGCTATCAACTACAAGTGAAAGGTATTTCTATAGTAACTGGTGATACGCGAAGACAGGTTTTCCTTTGAGCTATTTTAAATTATTTCTCAAATATATTTGACTTTTTAAAAGACAGTGTAACAATTAACTAACTTTGCTATTAACAGTTGCCTAACACAGTATATTAGGATGTTAAGAACAAAACCTAGAACAATTGAAAGAAAACTTTCTTTTGATTGGGCCTTCCTATCACCTCCTTCACTTTTTAAGTTTATCTTAACTTAGATCTTACCAAATAATTGTTTGCTTTTTGAAAAATTCTTTGCATGTTGTCATGTTAACAAAATTAAAATTCTGACAACAACTTAAGAGTTTAAAAAATTCAATCATAAAATTAATTACAATTTAACTAGATTGAAAATGTAATTGTAAAACTCCACAGAAAATCTTGCATAACTCAGAGACCCTGCTTTTCTTTAACAACTGATTTAATGGAAAAATAAAGTTTCTTACACTTTGTATTTTCAGGTTTCAGTAAATAAAAATAAAATAATCTTCAAACAAGTATATTTGTAATTAAAACTATAAAATAGCATCATACAACCTATATAATCAACACTGAAAAACATGAAAGTTTCACTATGATAAGCCGGTTGTTTACACGGGTGATTTGCTATAAAAGTGCCTTTCAAATGTTTGTTCCCATCACATATCATGAGAACAATGAGAAACATACCATCTTCCCATGTGGCTTTAAATGTTTCCTGGATCACATCATACTCTGAGTTAAAATGACTTTTTCCATATAGGTTCACATTATAGCAGTTGTCTGAATTTTTATTCTGATGTCAAAAATGTATTTCAGTTAATTTACTATCAGACAAGCTAAACTAAAATAAGTCTATTTTAATGAAAGAAACAATTCCCCATAAATAATAAAAAGAAGCTGAAATATAAGATCAATTGAACAATAAAATGTAAGAATGCCTTAGTAATGCAATTATTCCAATATTTTTCTCCTTGTGGATCATATAAGCTAAAATTAAGATATTGGCACTTAGATTTCAATACCATTTCAGAGAAAGAACACTTGAATGTCTCCAGAATATATCCAACCTGATCATTTACTTGCCAGCTACCTGGGAAAATCCAAGGAACAGGAGATTCTGTCTCCAAGATTCCTCTATTATTTGAAGGTAGATTTCTATCTCCTTGTCCATTAAACAGCCAATAAAATAGGTTTTTTTATAAGATCTCAGCTATCACTGCTTCCTCCCTGATTTATCTCAAAATTATGCTGAAAGAAGCTATTTAATTCTAAAACAAATGTTTCATTCTTCAAAATATCATATCACCAAATTGACCAAAAGCATGATTTGATTTTATTGTGATGAATTCAACTTGGGATATCACCTTAGGGAACATTATGAGTTTGGTATTGTGACATATTTATTTTTGCTTTTTTCTGGTAAGTAAAGCAAATCCACATTAGTTTCGAGCTGTATATTTCCTACTGCATGTTAATAAAGTGTTTAAAGGTAACTCAATATTTTTCCCAAGGTGCGTTTTAAAAGACTGTGGTATAATTAAAATGAAAATCACTTAGTCTTTCTATTCGTAAAAATGCCATTTGAAAAATCTACTGATCCACAAATTAAGTCTATCATGCTTTATACTGCAATGCAATTAAACAAAATCTTATATAGAGAAAACAGAAAGTACATCAATAAACCTAAATGCCAAATTACATTGAAACAAAAGCCCTGAGTTTTCATTTTGGATTTTTCCCAGAAGCTTTTAAGTAGAAGAGAAAGGGGGAAAAATGAGCAAGAGAAAGAAACATTAAGAATTACTGATAACAGAGTCTGTCTTACATTCTGCAGGGAAATGAGAGTATGATATCCTCCTAAATTGGCACTGTTTCAAATTGTGTTTCTGCAAGACTAATGAAATGAGAAGTGTTGTTTCAAGCTTCATGCCATGTCAGACAATATAAAACTAACATGCCCTTGAGTTAATCAGAACGGCCTATTCAGAGTAATTCTCCAGTCCTAAGGCTTCTTAGAAGGATAGAAAGTGCTCTGCACTTTGCAGAGCTTATTTTCTTGTTAAAAGTATAGCCTTAATTGTAGAAGGGGAAACGACTCTAGTGAATATGTATTCCATATATTTATTATTTTTTATCTATGCATGACACTTTGCATATAGTTAAATGCCTAAAGTTTCAGATAAATATGCAAATGTCCTCATTTTCAATGTGAAAATAATAAATTATAAAAAACCATGAATTATGTGTATTATAAAGGTTATATTTTACATTTCTCCTATTATGGGGACATACATAATTTCTTGTTTTAGAACAGTCTATTTTTGGTAGATTTATGGAAGGGAGTGAAATCACATATATTCATGTTAGAATATATATCCTAGTCATTAGTTATGCTCTATAATGATGTAGCTCTAACTCGATTCTTAGACTAATATGAATAAATACTTCCTAATACTTGCTAGGGAGATTACATATGAAAGAGTATTTTCAGCTTCTAACTTAGTTCAATATAAATATCATTGTCAAATCACTTCTTTACTCAAGTGTTCAAGGTTCCAAAGGCAGCAACCAAACTGCAGCATTTGTTGAGTCAATTTTAGCTGTGTCAATCAGCATCCCCAGTGGAAAGACAGCACTTACCAGGCATTCTCCTGTAATGTCATCACAGGATTCTGCATGACCAAAGCACCGACATGGTTCACAGATGCCACCAAATACGGTGCCGTTAACTCTTCTGTGCCTAGGCCAACAAGACTGAAAGAAAGATAAATTTTTCATCAGTCTTGGTATTTAAAAAAAAAAAGAATATTTTTTTTTCTGATAATAGAAAATAACTTAGGTAGCAAACTCAGCAAATATGCTGTCAAAAGTAGCCACTATTGAAACATTGCTGCAGCACTATTATTCCTGACATTGGGACTTCGTACTGACCTTACTGTTATTGGCAGGTATGAGATTAGAGGAAGCGTTAGCATGGTGTCTCTTCTGAAATAGTAAAATAAAGCACAGATATAAAGAATTGAAATGTGACAGTCTCAAAGTAAAAAGCACAGACAGGAAAATAGAAGGAAAAGTACTGGAAAAAAAAAAAAAGCAGCCAACATAAAAGGGCTCAGAGAATCTTAGCCTACGAGGGCACTCAACATCACCCCAAGTAATTTGACTTGGGAATAGCTCTCTTTTCCACACAGTCGCCACCCTCCACCCCTTCACATTCATAAAAATCTTTGAAATCATCTGCAAAACAGATAGCAGTCGCCTCCTACATTTGACAACATACACATTTGACTTCAATACATACGTAATTTATATATTTCATTCCAAATTTCCTCCATCCTATAATGGTTTTTCAAATTTACCCAAAGTACCTTGTGGTTTATTTACCATATATTCCCCTGATAGTTTATTTTATGGTATTATTCTCCTATAATCTGGCTTATATTCATTGTAGATTTCTTATATATGAACCAGTTTATGATTTAAAACCAGAATTCCAATTATAACAGGATACTTGGGGTTTATATTTCCTATTTGTCAGTACCTGCTCTAAATCCACTCACTCTTAATTAAATTTTTATTCTCTGGGGATTTCTACAAACTGAAAGGTCTCTAAATTCACTGTAAGGTAAGTATTGATGTCTTCTAGAAGCTTATAAGTCCATGTAGTAATCACCTTTTGTGGGTTATAAACTGTATTTCTGGATGGTTAAATACAACACCATATATCACAAAAGGTCTTTTTTTTTTTCCAGTTGAAAATAGAAATGAAAGAAACCACTGAAGTAATAAAGTATATAGAATTGTGTTGTGTATTGTTGGAAATGTTCTTCTGCCTTAGGATATGAGGACTCTTCAATTTGAACATCAATAACAGACATGTGAAAAAAGGATCTGCAGATATTTCATATCTGAAAATAAAATAAAATCAACTTTCCTCTTATTTTGAGCAGTATGAAAGAGAAAGTGTCGACTTTCTGTTCCTTTCCAATAATTTCCTCCTGTTAAAATTTTGGTCTCCATAGATTTATTATGGAAGTGATGTTCTTCTATAATATAAATGTTTATAAACTGGTGAAGCTACCCATCCAGAAGGAGGTAAAGCTTATATCAAAAGAAGAGCGAGAGAACTGATAGGATGTTTTTAGGGCAGATGTTTATAGAGATTTCCTTAACATATATTTTTAACATTTTAAAATGTAGCACTTGTATAACACCTTCATTTTTCAGATGCCCCAACTCCCTAGACCTTTTTCTTAATCAGTGAATTTACCCCATTAGTCACAGAAAAAAATGAAAGCCATCAGAATCTATCTTTCCTCTCCTAAGCCAACAAGAATGCACCTTTGTCTTCAGACATTCTTGCCAATTTCCCTCTGCAACAATAGAGGGGGTAATGCAGGATCCTTCTTCCTCTGAAGGAAATCTTACTCCACTTGTGTTCTTGATTCCAGGATCTTTTTGTCTTTTCAATATTCCCTCTCACTGCTCCATCAGTAAAATCTTTGTTACTGGACCACTACCATCATCTCAGAAATATGACCCACTGCCTCCATCAAAAATTAACTAACAGGAAAAAAAAATGGCAAAATCACTCTTTTAACCTTACACAACACTTCCTGTCACCTTTTTTTCTTTTCAGTAAAACTATTCTACACAACCTTTTCTTCCTCAATTGCCTTGTTCGCTTCATCCCATACTCATCTGTTTTGTGCTCACTCGATTAAAACTTCTCTTGTCCCTGCCACCGTGTTCCATTTGACCAAACACAGTGCACAACTCTGTAACTGTATTTGATCTGGGATCTTCTTATCGTTCTGCCTGGCTGACTCCATTCTACCTTGAAAGTCTTCTCCCAACCTCTGCAACATCATGCTCCCTGAATTTATCTCCTTTCTCTTTTCATTCTTCTCTGCTCTCCCTACTTCTCATTGTCAGGAGCCCCTCAGGGTCTAGGTGAGGTTATTTTTTTTCTTTTTAATCACATTCTCTCCTGGTTAATTTATTTAGTCCCATAGTTTAATGCCTTCCAACCAGGCAGATAGATATGCTTAGTCCCAGACATGCATATTCTAAGGACACATTGACATCTACACTTCACTGTGTTTCCAAACCAAATATTTCTAAAATGGACTATTGATTCCCTCCTCACTCCAACCCAATTATTCCTCCAGAGTAGCCATTCCCAGCTCAATCAATGTCATCACATCCAGTTGTACAGTTTTTAGCTGGTAACCTATGACTCGTTCGTAAACTATTTCTTCTTCTCCCCGTGGCATGTGGAATACCAGTAAGTCCTATTGGTTCTCAAAACACATATATAATATGTTCTGTATTTGTACATGCCCTGCCAATAAATGAACACAAACTATTGTAATTTCTGTGTTCTATCTGTACTAGTGTATTAACTATTCTTTTTCCTACCAGTCACGCCATTCTACAGTGTGTTCCTTATGTTATAGTAATAATGATGTGACTACAGTATAAAGTCAAAAAATACAGTCAAAAAAACATAATTCAAGTCATGGCAACATCCTGCTTAAAGACCTCTATTGATTTTGCATGACACTCAGAATAAAATCTTGATTCTTACAATGCATGAACACCTCTGAATGGCCTGGCTCCCCCATTCACATTTTGGGCCACTCACCCCCTTGCTTACTAAACTGCAGCCAAACTTGCCTTCTTTCAGGTTCCTGAAGACTCCAAACTCTAGGCCACTTCCTCATAAGCTCTTTTTACTTCTCATTCTTTAACGTGGTTTGATGTCACCACCTCAGAAAGCCTTTCATGGCAAACTTTATAAAATAGTCTCTCCATCTTTGAATACCCTCTCTCTTCCTGTCTGATTTCATATGAAATCAGTCTCCTCCGGACCTTTGTGATTTGATGACATCCTGTTAATTTACCTAGCTTTTCAAAGACCATATCTGTACTCTTTATCACATTATCCTCCATGTACTGGGTCTTTACTGCCTGAAATATATGCTTTAGAAAATACTGCAGTAAAGTGAGAGTACAAACACTTGTATATAGAGATTCATATTAAGAGGAAACAGATTTGGCCTTAAAACTTTGTTTTTTAGTATCCTATTGTGCTTTCATTTCCTCACCTATCAAGTAAAATGGATTATGATGGTACTAGGAAAACAAGAAAATATTTGAAAGTTTAAATGTAGAGCGATTTATAAGATGACAAGTAGAAATGAAAAGAAGAATTTTTTTAAAAAAAATAGCTTCTAAATCAACATTGTAGTCCAAAATAAAGTCTCAAATAAATTTTTTGCCAGAGGTTCTTAGTAATCTATAATTAAGTTATGGGATGGTCTTTGTAGTTTACTCTGCTTTTAAGGGATCGTAGGATATTAATGATAACAAACCTAGTGACTGGCCTTCTCAACTAAGCTCAGTGAAAAAAGAAAACAACCTCAAGGAAGGACAACATTGGGTGATATCAAGTCTAGGGACAGGAAGTTTTGATAAAGAACAGAAAAGATCATTATAGGGTAAAAGAAACAAAATCAGAGAGGAACTCCAGAGTTCCAAAACTTATTGTCCCTTGATTAAACTAAGTTCATTTATGTGTCTCAAAGAAACTTTATTTATCAATTATTGTGTGACAAGTTCAAGGAAGCTTTATTTTTCTTCTTCTGCTCCTTTGTTCTCTTTTCCATACTTGCATGCTTCTCTCTTCCAATCCATGTGTTACTAATATTTAGCATCTCTCAGATACTTTCCAAGACATTTCTTTTCACTAGAGTAGCTCACCCTTTGAAGGATCCCCTGTTAACTGGTCCCTTAATGATACAGTGCTATGATCCAATTTTTCATAGGTATTTGTTCTGTCTCCCCAGATTGTTAGTTCTTTAAGAACAGAGATTGTGTTGTATACTCATTGACAATTTATACAGAGAAATTTACATAACTTATCAAATGTGTGCAGAATTTGTCAGAATATTTTCAAAGGGACAAAAGTAACATAAAACATAGCTGATTAAACCATTATAATATTTATAACAATATAATAAAAGATGATGAATTAAAATGAGAATGATGTAGGTATGTATTAAAGCAAGAAGAGAAGTAAGGTATTTATTATTATAATTGAAATAGGAATTTAAATTTCCAAAAGGAGTTGAAAATAAAAGTTGAAAGACTTGTTATAAAAAAAAGTTTCTTCAAATACAACATAGATTTTATATCTGCAATCAAATAGGGCTGGACATAGATAGTTTAAATCCATGATTTTTTTTTCCTTTCTTCAAAAATTTTGGAAAAACAAGTACTTTAATGAATTACCTTTAGTTTTATTTCTAGATAGGTAAATCTGCCCAGTTAAAGAAAACACATTTGTCATGAACATGACTGTAAGGTCTGAGCACTCTCTGGAAGCACATATTATTTTAAAGTAAGAGGGAACTCACAAAGCAGTGCCTATAGTATTTCTATAAATGGTGTAATAGGTTAGTGTTCTGAACTGGAACATCCTGATGCACTCAAATGATTCCTTAAAGGTATCATTTTAAAGAATTTAAGCTCTCATTTATCTTGAAGGCATTCCCTTTGGCAGGGAATTCATGTTTACATTTTTTGACCAGGTTTCAAGTAAAATCAATTTTCAAACTACCTCAGAGAAAATACATAGAAGTAAATAAAATTGCTCTCTTAAATTGTGGTATTAAGTAAGAAACATTAATTTTATTTTAAATCTGGAATTTTGAGACAACAACTAATATCTGAAACTTAGATATTAAACAAATAAAAAAAATGGTAAGGAATTTCCTAGAGCAAGGTATTTGTTCCATGAATTATGTTCTTGACATTCTGAAGATTTCATGCTTCAGATGGTTGTGACTTGGTTGTATTCTCAGGAAGTAGAGTAAAAGAGGTATACATAGGATTTAAAAATGGGAAAATAAAAAGAAACAAGTACTAAATTCTGGATAACTACTGAAATGAAAATGGAAAAAAAAACACTTTGAAATATTATTCTGCTGCCATCCAGCATGCAACTGATTGAACAGGAAATAAATATTTATGGAAACATCATATTTTTCAGTTATAGTAAGGAAAAATGTCTCAAAAGGAAACAATTTCATGGATGGCATTTGGACAAGTCTTGACTTTTTAGTAGAATTTTCTTCCTTCTTTAAGTAATACATGATTATTTGTGCAATTATTAGCAAAGAACGCCTGTATTCAGAATAGTATCTGAAGGAGCTTATATTGCATGGAGAATATATTTTTGCAAACTTACTTCACAAGAGGAGCCACTATACCCTGGTGGACACTGACAGATTTCCACAGCAGCTGCAACACTTCCATCAGTAGGATATGGGACAGCAGATTCAAGCTTCACAGAGCTCAACCTGAGAAGTGGGGAAACGGATACTAAGTAAATACACAATCTCTTCGGCATTATGGCATTATATTGGCTAAAGAATATGTACAGCAACTATAATACAAATATGAGAAAATCATCCATTAGAAGAAAGCAAATGAATATCCATAACTTGAAGCTGTCATTCATTATATAGTTAGTCTTCACTATCCATGGCTCCACATCTGTGTATTCAACTAGCTGTGGATTGAAAATATTTGGGAAAACTGAACCTGTACTGAAAATGTACAGACTTTTGTCACTGTCATCCCTAAACAATATACTAGAAAAACTGCTCATATAGCAACTTCATGTAATCAAGTGTTAATTTAAACTGTATAGCAAAATTGCATGGGTCATATGTAGACACTGCATCATTTGATATAGGGACTAAGCATATAGGGATTTGGGTAGAATCCATCACCTGAGGATACTGAGGAACAGCTCTATTAGGTAAGGCCTGCTCAGCTACAAATGCTGACAATCATCACAACCATCAAACACTTAAAAGATATGAGAATGTTCTTCCTTATTTATTGGTTCTTAGCTTTGTGTGTTTTAGGGTAGGGGAAGGGGAGGGGCCCCAGGGATTAGACCCAGTGGTGCTTAACTCAGCTCCTTTTTTAAAAATATTTTATTTAGAGATAAGTTTTTGCTAAGTTACTTAGGGCCTTGTTAAATTATTAAGGCTGGCTTTGAACTTGCAGTCTTCCTCCCTCAGCCTCCTGAGAGGCTGGGATTATTGCATAGCCACTGTGCCTGGCTGCTATATATTTTCATTTTCTTTCTATGAAGACTAAAAAAACCAGTTTAAAATCATATAATTTAAGTGATTTTTAAAATAGAATACATTCATTCCCATGACTGTTTGAAGTAGAAAAACAAGAGACAATATTAATCTTAAATTTTAGTTTTTAAATTGAAACAAAAAGTGGAATGAATTTTGGTTTCTTTTCTTCAGAGATAAACCCATGTTGTAGTAGGTATAAGTGAAACTTTCTCAAATGCTCAGTAGAGCTAGTTAGCACTATTCTTAAACTATTTTTGGCGTAAATTAAATCACTGTTCTCTGTATGTATGAATTTTATTTTACTGATACTTCTATACCATTTGGTGATGTTAGCCAAGTGACTTGGCATCACTTATTTTTTGTAAGAAAATCTGGTTAAATGATTAAATAAAAAATAAATACCAAGTTCTTGTTATTATAGTAATTATGAAATACTAGACATGCTATTAACATATTTTCACTGATTGTTGAAACACGGTTTCAGTAATAATGAAAATACTACCTGAACTATTTGTAAACTCAAATCATTTAACAAATTTTAAATAAACTCTAATAGGGCAAAACTAATGATTACTTAGAGCAATTAGGCAAGAGAAAGAAACAAAGTGCATAAATAGGAAGAGTGGATGTCTAATTATCCCTGTTTGCAGGTGATATGATATTATGCATAAAAACCTCAAGATTCCATCAAAAGCTTATTAGAAATGATAAATTCAGTATATATAGAAAACCAACATAAAAATGAGTATCATTTTTGTATATCATAATGAGATCATTGAGAAAAAAATCCCATTCATAATAGCTTGAAAAATTCCCTAAGAATAAATATAACTAAGGAAGTTAAAGACCTCTCCAATGAATATAAGACATTGATGAAAAAAATGTTGAAGAAGGCACACAAAAAAATGTACCTTTGATGTTCATTGACTACAAGAATTAATATTGTTAAAATGTCCTCACTATCCCAAGCAATTTACAGATTCAATGCAATTTCCATCAAAACACCAATAACATTTTTCATGGAACTAGAAAAAAATAATCCCAAAATTCATATGAAAACAGAAAATACTCTGCATAGTAAAAGCAATTTTAAACAAAAAAGAAGAAAGCTGGAGGCATCACAATACTTGATTCCAAGACATACTACAGAGTCACAGTAACCAAGTCATTAGCATAAGAATAGACACAGACCAATAAAACAGCAGAGAGATTCCAGAAGTAAATCCATGCATTAGAGTCAACAGACAGTTGACAAAGGTGCTAAAAATGGACACCAGAGGAAGGAGAGCCTCTGCAAGAAGTGGTGCTCGGAAAACCCGATATCCTTATGCAGAAAAGGACTGAAACTTGAACACTATTTCTATCATTTACAAAAATTAACTAGAGTAGATCAAAGACCTAAGAAAAAGTCCTGAAACTATTAAAATATTAGAAAAAAACAAGGGAAACAGTTACAGACAGTGGTATATACAATGGCTTTTTTGGATATCATCACAAATGCACAGGAAACAAAAGCAAAAGTAGATAAATGGGATCACATCAAACTAAAATCGTGCTCAGCAAAGGAAACAACTGAGTGAAGAAACAACCTAGGGAAATGACAGCCTAGCAAAAATATATGCTACCTACTCATCAGGTTAATATCTAAAATAATAAGGATCTTATCCCCAAAAACGTAATGATGAATAAACAAATAATCCAATTTAAATGGGGAAGTTATCTAAGCAGATATTTCTCAAAATAATTAACACAAATGTCCAAAAAGTATATGGAAAAAAAAATGCTAAATATCATTACTCATCAGAGAAATGCAAATTAATACTACACTAGCTATCATATCACCCTAGTCAGAATGGCTATTATAAGAAAATAAAAAAAACAAAAAATGCAGGCAAGAATGTAGAGAAAAAACGAAGCCCTTATATATCATTCATAGGAATGTAAATGAGTAGAGACATTGTGGGGAACAGTTAGGAAGTTCCTCAAAAGACTAAAAATAGATCTACCATTTGATCCAGCTATTCCATTTCTGGGTATATACAAAGGAAATGAAATCAACATACCAAAGAGATACTGCACCCCCACATTTACTGTGGCATTATTCACATGGTTAAAATATGAAATCAATTTAGGTGCCCATCTATGGGTCAATGGATTTAAAATGTGTGGTATATGTACACAATGGCAGATCATTTAGTCAAAAAAAAAAAAAAAAAAAAAAAAGAATGAAAGCTTTCACCTTTAGTAAAACGGATAGATTGGAAGGACACTATATTAAGTGATATAAACTGAATACAGAAAGTTAGGTCCCATATATTCTCTCTCATATGTGGAATTTAAAAAATATATAAAAATTGACCTGAATGTGGAGTAGTGATTATTAGTGGTAAGGGAAGGGGATGTATAAGAGGAGGCTGTATCTCATCATGATATGCTGTATGTTTTGATATATTACACTGAGGGCTGGGGCTGTAGCTCAGTGGCAGAGCACCTGCCTTGCACATCTGAGTCACTGGGTTAGATCATCAGCACCACATAAAAATAAATAAATATATTTTTTAAAAAAAGAAATATTACACTGAACCTCATTAATGTAAATAGTACATGTTAGACAAAAAAAATAAAAATTAATAATATAAAAGTGAATCCTAACTCCCAAAATGACAATATTAACACATGGGGCCTTTGGGAGGAAATTCAGTCCTGAGGTCAGAGCCCTCACGGCATTAATGGCTTTTTAAGAGACCCCAATAGCATTTTTTGCCCTATTTCCAGCATGTAAGGATACAATAAAAAGAGTGCAGCCTGCTACCTGGAAGAGGACTCTCAGCAGAGCCTGACCGTGCTGTCACCCTGATCTCAGACTTCCAGAACGTTGACAAATAAACTTCTATGTTTACAAGCAAAAAATCAACCAAATGAACAAAAAAGAAAAAAAAACCCTAAACAACCTGTGTTGATTCACAATAATAAACTTTGTTTTTTAAAATGATTGATGGATCTTTGTAAGACATAATATGGCACCCTTTAGCCATAAAATTTCAGCTGCTCTTGCTAGGGCATTCTAAATTTCTTACTCAAGAGATTTTTATTAATCAGGGATTTACATGTAAACCAAGAGCTTGCTGGATGTAGGAATGTATGCTGTAGCCAATCCAGAGAGCAAAGCTAAAGGGCTCATGACAAGGTTTAAACGTTATTTTCAAAAGTGACAACCTTCAACAACATTGTAAACTTTTCAACAAGTTCCTAAAATCTTTATTGGCTTTACTTCCACTTTACTAATCCTAGACACTGATATTACTTTGGAATTTGTATGAGTTCATTATGATCAAGAAGCAGAAATGGAAAGGGAACTGAAATCTTAAAAAAAAAAAAATAGGCAGCTGGATGAAATCTTCTGTGTTGAGTGACAGCTGGTGCCTTGTAAAGACCAGGGCATTATCTTTAACGGCAGATGAACTCATCCGGCATTATTTCTTGGATGTTGTCTTTTCTAGGGGCACAGCTTAGACATCCTGATAGAAGGTCCTCGACACGTAGGCATTAAAAATCGCCATCATACAGTGTTCATGTTACATGGGTCATTTGAAAATCACTAAATGATCTTCCCCTCACCAAGCAGCCTTGTGCACAATGGCATGCAGTGTCTTAGGCATTTCTTCCTCTTTTTATTATCTGAGGTGGAATTCACACAACAAAATGAACTCTTAAAGTGTGCAATTCTGCATCACTTAGTACATTCACAATGCTATGCAACTATTACCTCTGTCTAGATCGGAAACATTTTCATCAGCCTCAAAGAAAACCTCATGCAAATTAAGTAGCCACTGTCTCTTCCCCTCTTCCTCCAACCTCTATCAGCTATCAATCTGCTTCTATCACTGTGAATTTACTAATTCTGGATATTTCATATTAACAGTATCAAGCAATACGTGACCCTGGTGTCTGATTATTTTCACTTAGCCTGTATTGAGGTCCATTCTAGAATGGTATATACATGCAACAATATATGACTCACATGCTTGAGTCATATACTGTTGCATGTATATACTATATTTTGTTTACCCATTTTTCTGTTGATGGATTTTTGTGTTGTTTCCACCTTTTGGCTGCTATAAGTATTCACGAACAGATTAATATATTAATTGTTTATCAAGCAATAGATTGTCACAGTGCACTAATTAGCAGGTTGATCG